TGTATTTTGTTTGTAATTAGGAAATAAAATTCAGTCAAATGTTATATTACTAATTAAAAAAAAGATGCTGAAGAAGTCATCTGGGACTAATTCTTGGGTTTGGATTAAAGACAATAGCTGTATGAATGAATTTTCCAAACATTTTATATTAAGCATTGTTTATCGTTGGTTTAGCATGTTTATGGGCCCTTTCTTAGAATATAATACTTTCTTTTTCTTTTCTTTTTTGTTTTGTCAAGGCAGAGTCTCACTCTGTTGCCCAGGCTGAAGTGCAGTGGCAAGAAAATGGGTCACTGCAGCCTTGAGCTCCTGGGCTCTGGTGATTCTTCTATCACAGCCTCCTGAGTAGCTGGGACCATGGACATGTGCCGCTGAACCTGGCTGTTTTTTTTTTTTAACTCTTTGTAATGATGGGGGTGTTACCATGTTGCCCAGGCTGGTCTTGAACTCTTGGGCCCAAGCAGTCCTTTTGTCTTGGCCTCCCAAAGTGCTAGTATTACAGGTGTGAGCCGCTGCACCTGGCTCATATTGCCTGCTTGCTCTATTTCTTGTTTCTTTTCTTTCTTCCTTCCTTTCCTTTCTTTCTTTCCAGTTTTTCTTTCTTCTTTTGAGGCAGGGTCTTGCTTTGTCACCCAGGCTAGAGTGCAGTGACACAATCTTAGCTCACTGCAGCCTTGACCTCCTGGGCCTAAGTAATCCTCCCGCCTCAACCTCCCAGGTAGCTGGCATTATAGGCACATGCCATGACGCCTGGCTGATTTTTAAATTTTTGGTAGAGACACGGTTTTGCCATACTAGCTAGGCTGGCCTTAACTCCAGAGCTCAAGTAAACCGCTCACCTCAGCTTCCCATAGTGCTGGGATTTGCTTTCTTAATATTTTAGTGGGTAAATTATTGAGTCAGTTTTCTTAGGTTTTCCACCACAAGTATGAATTTGACATGAAGTCAGGACAGTTCAGTGAAAATATTTAGTAAATGTTTAGAGATAAGAGCTGGGTCATTCTTATTTATCAGCGCATGTTTTGAAAACCCTTATTCTTAGAATTTATTTATTTAATTAATTTTTTTTTAATAGAGACAGGATTTCACTGTGTTACCCATGCTGGTCTCAAAGCTGTCCTCCTGCCTTGCCTCCCAAAGTGCTGTGATTACAGGCATGAGCCACTACTCCTGGCATGGAATTTTTTAGTTAGCTTATTTTTAACTTGTGTTCATTGAGATGAATAAAACTTCTTTTGTTTTAAATCAGATTCTTGCATTAATTTTTAAGAATATATAATCTGGGATCATAAAGATCTAAATTTTAATCCTGGATCTGCCACTTAACAGCTGTTGACACTATGAAAAGTTTTCAACTTTTATTAATTAAATATTAATTTCTTTCTTCGTAAAATGGGGATGATACTACTACAGAAATTACCTTATTGGGTTGATGTGATCACTATGAGATACAAATGTAAAGCATTTAGTACATCCTCTGTCAGTGCTCAGCAAATCTTGTTACCGCAATCATTATCGTCATCTTCAATTTAAATTGTACTCTTTTCTGATTAGTCTTGGGTCAAAGTGGAGACTTGCAGTGAAAATGGAAATTATTCATTTTCTGATGCATACATGTTAGGCTTCAGAAAATATACAGAAACTACTGAAAATAAAATAATTAGGAAACAAAGCTGGCATTACTATTATAATCAATATGTTGTGCCTTGATTTATGATGGGATTATGTCCAGATAAACTCATCTTAAGTTGAAAATGCATTTAATGCATTTAATGCATTTAACCAACCGAACATTGTAGCTTAGCCTAGCTTATCTCAAATGTGCACAGAACACTTGTATTAGCCAACAGTTTGGCAGAATTAACTAAAACAAAGACTTTTTAAATAAAGTATTGAACTCCTCATGTAATTCATTGAATTCTGGACTGAAAGTGAAAAATAGAATGGTTTTGTACCATGTTAAAGTTCAAAAAATTAAATCATTATATTTTAAAATCATTATTTACCATTAACTTGCTTCATTATTTAATTGTACATTACTTTCTTAAGGTAGAAACTTGATTTTCTTTTTAAATTTGTAGGTATCCGTGGGGAAATCAATGTAGTTGTCAAAGTAGACCTCTTCAATGATTTAAATCGGTTTAGACAGTCATCATGTGGAGTCAAATTCTTTTGCAGTAAGTAAATACATTCTATTACTCAACAGGAAATGTAATAACTGTAAAATATGAGAAATGAAATTAACATTTTAGAAAGCAAGTAGAAAAGGTATTATTCTTGGTTTTAATGCCAAAGAGAAAATTGTTAATTTTCTAGAAATAGTTAACGGTAGTTCTGATTTGAGTATAAATGGTATCTAGTTTTTGAAAATGTATAGAAATTTTCATTAGAGAAATCCAGTGACATTTTACTATAGTATAGAACACTGAAAGAAAGGAGCAGAACACTATGGCTAAATATTATGGTGCTATCCCAAATGACACAGACTTCTATGGGTGTTGAGTCTAGAGAACTCCTAGAAATGTGTGGGTCTGAAATGGGCAGGTCTGGGTTGCTCACAGCCAGCCTGCAATAGTAGAATTGAAATCCCTAAGTAGTTGAATTAGCTTCAGTGCACAAATGTTTATTTTAAGAGACTAATTTGGTACAGGTATATCAGGTTCTCTCTTTTTTGAATTTGAACTTGACTCCTTAGGTTATGTCAGAAAGGCAGTCCTTTGATTTTTATAACTGCTTTGTGGTATACAGAAGTACTTTTACAAAGGGCTTTGAATAATGAAAGATTTAAAAAAATCATTATCTGCTTTCTATCTAGTTATGTAATAATTAGCTAGCTGACTTTAATTTTGATTTTTTTAAACTTTGTATTGAATTCTATTTAAGGTTGTCTATAGCTGTTTTCCAAATTAGGCAAATACAATTCATATTTACTTACATGAGAAAGGTGAGAGGCCTCATAGAAGAAAATGATTATTTCTAAGAATAAAATAGATCTTAGAAGACTTATTGGAAGTATTATTATAGTAAAAGATGTTCTGTTGTGTATCTAAAGGTCAGAAAACTGAGATGTACATTTTTTAAAAATTCAGTTTTACCTTTTGATAAACAGAAGCATAATAATTTGTTTTAACAGCAACATCTATTCCAAAGTGCTATAGAGCTGTGATAATTCATGGATTTGTAGAAGAACTTGTGGTCAATGAAGACCCAGAATATCAATGGATTGATCGAATTCGCACACCAAGGGCGTCAAATGAGGCCAGACAGAGACTCATTTCATTGATGTCAGGTATTTAAAAAAAAAAAAACAAAAAAAAAACTTTATTACTGACTGATTTAATACTTTCCTAAATTTTTCGCTTTCCTTTGTCATGCCACCTCAAATTTTACAATGAAGGCTATGAATTATAAGTGACTAAATGCCTTCCCGTGGCCCAGCCTTCCTGAACACACTTGGATTGTTCTCTTTTAACAAGTGGAAATGTGAATCAGAAGCTTTTAGTAAAAGGAAATTGTGTTGATGAGGTAGTGTAGTAGAAAGAGTCCTGAGCAACGGGGTTAAGGAAGGAACCCTGAGTGGGAACCTGGATTCTGGTTTTCCTCCATCTACCATTTATTTGTCAGAGCTTAAGCAAATCACCTCCCTCTCTCTCTCATTCTTTCTGTTCAAACGTTGCCTTTTCACAGTTCTTCCCTGGGTACTGTAGGTCCCTCTATCCCTCTTACCACTTTCCCTGCCTCTCTGACCTCATTCCCTTTTTATATTTTTCTTTGAAAAATTTGCTTACCGTTTTAAAGTTTATATTAATGTTTATGTGTGTATATATGTGAATATGCATACATATATTTTATACAAAGTATCAATGTTATATTTATATAAAAATATGCATATTTGTTTTTATTCTATATATTTGTGCTGTATAAGTATATATTTTATAATTATGCTATATTGTAATAGAATTATGTTCTATATTTTATAGATTATGTTTGTATGATATATTTTCTCTGTATGTAATATTAATATGTTTACTTGTTTTTTATTTGTTTACCCCACCAGTATGTAAAATCCACTAGATTTGAGCTTTTCTTTCTCATTCACCCCTATATCTTTAGCACTTAGAAGAAAAGAAGAATACCAGCATGTAGTACAGAGCCAAAATTGTTTGGTAAATGAATGCATGAGTGGGTGAACCTTACTTGCCACTTCTATAAAATGCAGCTAATAATATCTTACCTCCCCGAAAGTAGGAGGCTGGACCAGGTTATCTTTTAGGTTTCCTTCAAGTTATGAAAATCTGTGATTTTCTTGGTCTTTTCTTTTTTTACCATTACCGTATCCGGCCTTATAGTATATAATGTAAAGATACGAAGCAAGAATGAGATTTCCTTTTTTTGTAGGTGAACTTCAGAGGAAGATTGGCTTGAAAGTACTTGAAATGAGAGGAAATGCAGTTGTGGGGTACTTACAGTGTTTTGATCTGGAGGGCGAGTCTGGGTTAGTGGTACGAGCCATAGGAACGGCGTGTACTCTGGATAAATTAAGTAGCCCAGCAGCATTCCTTCCTGCATGTAATTCCCCATCCAAAGAAATGAAGGAGTAAGTATGAATCAATGAAATTGTTCTTGCCAAGATTTTTTTATCTACACATTTTCATTTGATTTGAAACATTTCAGTAGGGTTGTTCAAAATTTTCTCTATGATGATTTTTATTGGTGATGACTGTCAAAATTTAAACTTAAAAATATTTAAATATTCTAATATTTTATTTATACTGTCTTTTTTTTTTTTTTTTTTTTTTTGACAGGGTTTTGCTTTGTTGCCCAGACTGGAGTGCAGTGGTACAGTCTTGGCTCACTGCAGCCTCCACCTCCCAGGCTCAGGTGATCCTCCCACCTCAGCCGCCTGAATAGCTGGGACTGCAGTGGTGCGCCACCACACCCAGCTAATTTTTGTATTTTTAGTAGAGATGGGGTTTCATTGTGTTGCCTAGGCTGGTCTCAAACTCCTGGGCTCAAGTGATCCACCTGCCTTGACCTCCTAAAATGCTGGAATTTACAGGTGTGAGCCACTGTGCGTGGCCTATACCATCTCAATATGAAACTAAAATTAAGTAATATAAAATTAAACTTATTCCAGATATTAAGACACTGTATATATAAAGCATAAAATAAATATTCATGCATTGTGTGGCATTTTATTTTCTGAGGAATGCTTAAAACCCTCTACCAGACAATCCAGTTATGCTTATTAATGGCCACATAGTAAATATATAAAGCAGGAAAAATTGATTTGTGCCTAAGTCTTAAACTCAAATGTCTGGAGGCCAGGCAGTTTATATAAATAATCTAACTGGGTGTAATTAAATAGGGTATACTACCATCTGTAAAGACAAGGTTGGCAAACTTTTTCTGTGAAAGGCCAATATTTTAGGTTCTGCCCATACAGTCTCTTGTCTTTACAAAAAAAGGAGTTTGCTGATTCTGAATCTAAAGAAATTTAGAATCATACATTTTAGAAAAACTATGTGTGATCCTGCAAAACACCTCTCTTGGCTTGATTTGGCCTGTGTGTGTGTCATCATTGTGTCAGAGGCAGAGGTTTTCAACATGATGGTGGTGGCGACTGTCAACCCAGAATGTTCAGAAAAAGATTTTTCTGTCATAATGATTAGGGGGCTAGGTCCTGTTGGGGACTAGAGAGGCTGACTATCCTGCACAGCAAGGGACAACCCTATACAATAAAGACTTGTTCCATCCTAAGTGCCTGTATTACTTCAGTTGAAGACCACTCATCTAGAGATTCTTTTAAGTCAAGGGTTGGCAAACTTTTTCTATGAATGACCAAATGGTACAGGTAAATAATGTAGTTTTTGCTGATGCTACTTCATAACTGTCATTGTAGCACAAAAGCAAGCATAAACAGTATGCAAATGAATACAGTGTGGCTGTGTTCAAGTAAAACTTATTTACAACACAGATGGCAGGATAGATTCAGCCTGCAGTCTGTAAGTTTGCGGACTCTCGTCCTAGGTAATCAGGGAGCCATAATTGTGTAGTCAGAAAACCTAAAACGTTTCCCAGTTCAGCAGTAGTCAGGAGGGGTTGAGTAGAAAGGTATCATAGTTTGAAAAAACATGTTTTTTCACAATCATTTTTAAAAGAAATTTTCATCTAAGTGTGTTCTTTTTGTTTAGCCATTTTATTTCTGCTGGTTGTTAGTCATTTGGGTTGAATTTTATTCATAAAAGGAAGCATAGTGTTACATACTGCTTAATTTTACTTGAACACCTTGGCATATGAAATAATTGTTTTAAGCAAGTCGAAGAGTGAATTTGTTTTATATTCCATTTAAATATCTCCTAGAAAGATAAGAATTGCCAGCTGCCAGCAGTAGAGTCAGATTGCAGGTTTAGCTTTTTGAGGGATTCAGATTTTTTTCCTTCTTTGTATAGCAAATTTAAGTAAATATTTACTAGCAAATTAAAGTGCAAGTTTAAGCAAATTTAAGTAAGTTACTTAGTGGAAGAGAATGACAATGCTATGTTAACTGTTGGTTTCTTAGAATAAAATATGGATAGCAAGGGGATGTGTTTTGCATGCGTCCAGGAAGAGTTCTATTCGTGTAAACCTTCTGGGATTGTATATGTTTTCTCCTTTTCTAATCTTCTTGAGGCCTCATGATGAACGTAAGTTGCTTCCTTAGGATTTTCTGAAAGGCATCTTACTAATTAAGTTTTTTTTAAAAAAACTCCTCAATACTCAGGCTGTTTTATTTCAACTGGCTTCATTGTATTTTTGATAATGAAGCAATTTGGGTTCTATTACAAAGCCTGTTTTATGATTCAGCTCATTATAACTATTCTGGTATTTAATTATCATGTAATATTGTTGAATCTAGACAGGAATTTGATAAAAGGTAGTTTAGATTATGTTACTGACTGGAAAGAAATATTAATATTATAAACACCACAGGATATTATTATGAGGCATCCTTTTATTCAGGGAGACTGATAGAATCAGAAAACTCCAAGAATACATTATGGTGATGTTCCAGTGTATTTGAATTTTAATTTGATGCTATAATTTGAACGTTTTACACTGTTCATTTTAGTTTTTTCATTTTGTTTTACCTATATTAATGGTGTGTTCTACTTCCTAAGGTTGTTTTATTCTTTTAGATGTTCAGTATCATGCACATTATAAATCCCTGTGGTGTTTTCCAGCTTAACTCCCTTGACAATAGAAAACAGAAAGTGCTTTTAAGCATAATTTGTTGCTTCTCTACTTAAAAAAAAGTACCAAGAGACAAATTCTCCTGTGTATAGTACCATAGCATTGTTTATTTTTAAGCCTTATACTTTTTAATTCTTTTTGAGAATTCTTATGCTTTTTCTCACTTCAGTGGAGAAATAAAAACAAAAACAAAACCTTACTCACTTTTTTTGTGTAAAAGTAGATCACCAATGAATTGTTTGATTTTTATCAATTATAAATACTTTTTAATTTCTATTAGCAACAAAGGCAGAAAAATTTCTCCCATTGTAAAATCAGTAATATTTTCAGAAAGTCGTCTATAGAGCTTAGAAAAGACTATTATGATCAATTATGATTTGATCATAATTGTTTGAACCTTGACAGATTGTGAATTGGGAAATGTTCCTGGGCAGTCAGTAATATAGCAATGGAAAAGAAAAAAAAGTCAGGCAAAGTTGGGCTCTTGGCCTGCCTTTAATTTGTCTTGTAAAAAATGAGAATGATAGTTTTTCAGAGTGTACTCACATACGATTCATATGATTCTGTTTCCCACATTGTGTGTTAGCAAAGGCACTGCACAGTGAAATAATTGCTAATATGAAATTCTGGATTCTTATTTATATAATATGCCTTTTTACAACATTCAATGTAATCCTTTAAGCCAAACTTTTTCTTAAAAATCTCAAATGTTATCTATGAATATACACTTGTATAACTGATATAAGTATAAATATACACACACATAGATATGGTTTATTATAGGATGTAAGTTGATAACTTACAAAATTTTGATTTGGAATGTAGTTTATATAACATATTCTGTATGAGGGCCAAAATTATTGACATTACTTTATGAAGATGTCTTGAAAAGCATAGTCTCCTTGTTTTGTTTCCAGTGTAACCTGATTTTAAGCTATATATTTGGTGTATCGAAATACTGGAACATGTTTATCTGCATACATCCATTCAGTTCACTCATTTCTCTTTATAAGGTCATCTTTCATATTCTTAAGTACTCCTGTCTTATTAGCCTAGACAGATATAGTTGTTTAACTTTCTTTATAGAGAATGTAATTAATTATGTCAGCTATTCATATCTCAGTTTCAAAGGTAATATAAGAACTTTATATTTGACTTTTTACTTTTAAGGGTATCCTTCCCCATAAATAGTTCATAGTAAGTTCTATTGTGATAAAAATAATAATAAATATGTTAAGGAAACTTAAAATACAGATCTTAGTCTTGTTCTCATTTAATTTCATTGACTGTTCTGCTTGCTGTTTTCTTATTCACAATTAATAAATTATAATTAATTTATTAAGCGGATACTTTAAAATTATGACTATATCCTAACAAATTAATATTTAGCTATTTTTCAGTTTCAACTTGCTTTTGCATGCTAGGGATTAAAAACAATAAGTTCTCTTCCCTAACTAAAGCTCCTTTGAAATTATTTTAACATAACTCTGCAATCTGTTGTATGTATTGTTTTCTTTTCTTCCGCTTTGACCACAAATTCCCTCAGGTCTCCGCTGGTTCATCCTCCAAGCCATGGATGCCGTTCGACTCACAACAGCCCAATTCACACTGCTACTGGCTCACGACTTACTCAGAACTTCTCTGTGTCTGTTCCCACTCTCATCTATACTGGTACGAGACTGCTCAGACTCCAGAGCTTGGGAGATGCAGGCCACGGGCAGAGTGGCTGCAGAGGCAGGCAGGCAGGTAGTGTAGGCAGGTACCACAAGTCCTTCCTTCATCCTTTTCTTACTTGAAGTCCAGCTGCAGTGAGAAACTTCGGTATTTAGCTGCCACAGAGGCTCTAACTGTGTGGAAGTAAAGGTATCCTTCCAGCTTCCAAAGTCTCTTCCACAGATCTTCAAATAACCCTATCTTGTATATGTGTATTGTGAATTTTGAGGAGAATCCTCCCATATATATTTTTATAATTATTTCTGCATTCGTTTAAAAATAAAATTGATGATTAGATTCTAAATGAAATAACTGCCAAAGCTTCCAATTTGCTTATTTTCTTTATATATAAAGACTATTACACTAGGTTCTGTTTCATTCTGTGGAAGAGAGCTATTGGAGAACAGGTAAGCAACTATTCTGCATTAAATGCAATGTTTCTGTGTAGTTGTATTCATTTTTCTCTCTGCTGTGTTTTTAGCTGTGGCACTCTTGCTGCTATAGGATAAGGAAACATTTTTTTCTTTTGAGGATATCTGTTGTGTGTGCAAATATAAAAACAATTATGAATATTTACACACACCATTTGTAGTTACCATTTTTCTTTTGTAACTTACGGCATTATTTGAAAATATTTTGTTATATATTCTTTTGATTTCTCCTTTTGATATTTTTTTTACCCTCTTAGCCTGTCATTTCATGCTTTTTTGCTTTTTCACTTGGCTTGTTAACTGTTTCAAATGCAGATAATATTTATCTGGAGAGTGATGAATGGTTAAACAGCAATTGGTTGTCTTTGGCCTTATTCCCAGCTCCACACGTAAGAAATGACTGCTGGCCCTGCCCCAGTTCTTTCCTGGTGTTTGGATCATGCTGCCTCCCGTCAAGCCCTTTGGCACATGATTACTTAATATTTCTCCACCTTCTTCTGGCAGGATTCCCTTCAATGAAGATCCCAATCCCAATACTCACTCATCAGGACCCTCAACCCCTCTGAAAAACCAAACCTATTCCTTTTCACCTTCCAAGTCCTACAGTCGACAGTCCTCTTCTTCTGACACAGATTTGAGTTTGACACCCAAAACTGGTAAGGCGCTTCCACCCACCTTTTGGTTTTTCTTTTTTTAAAAAATTTGTTTCTATTTCTTACTAGTGATCCATCCAAATCTTTCCTCTTGTTTTTGGCATTTAAGTTAAAAGAGGATGTGAATATGGATCATTTTCAGTTACTGCCATTAAAATATGAAAATTTTGTATAATTCAGAAATTATCTTGTCTGGAGATCTATATTTTGTTGATTTAATTATAGCATAGATATCAAAGTCCAAGATATATTTTGGCATATAGACATTTTTCATTTTATGCTCAAATTAAGAGGAATAACATCTTTAAACATTTGACTAAAAAGTAACACTAGTAGTTTGCAATCAAATTTCTCATGCATATAAGCATTTTTGAATTATTTCTGCCTATTAATGAATATAATTCTAATATTTTATTGTGAAAAAACTCTTAACCACTGAAATGGTTATATTGGAGTACATCTATTAACTGGGTATTTAAAATGTTTGCTTTTACTAGTCTTTCCAGGTTAGAAAATAGCATTTTTATTTATTCTTAAATTTTTCTGTTTATCAAATTTATATCTTTTTCTTTTCTATTGTATTTTGATGAATGATTTCTGGATTTTTGTGACTATGTTTTATGATAAAAAGTTGACCAAAAATCAAATTAGTTCCTTACATTTTAGAGCAGAATTAACTTATTTAAATCACCAAATTATTATTGTTCAGGAAAATCTAAAATAAATTTAAAAATTTAACAGTTAATGGTGTGAAATTTTTATAAACAGTATTTTCGTCTGACAGTTTTCCCATCAGATGATTAAAACATAGTACTTTTTTGTTATTTTTAATTAATATTTTTAAAATAGCCTTATTTGTATGTTAGAAAAGAAATTTATGTAGCAATTCTAGATTTTGTGAAAATAAGGAAAAAAAGTCTAAATCCAAAGCAATGCTACTTCTAAGGAAAGATCAATTTTTTTAAAAGCCTGTAGATTTAGTTTGTTTCTATAAATGAAGTTGTAAAATATAATTATGAATACTTGTTTTCTTGAAGATCACAGCTTCATCTTTAGATAATTGTGAATAATGTCTACAAATAACGTAGTTATTTCATAGTGATGAATGCTTTGGAATTTGGCACCTTATCAGGTTTATGCCGTAAAAATTGAACCATCCAGATTGTAGTGAAAAAAGCTTTTTTTTTTAATAAAGAGTAAGAGACTCTCTCCTTAAAACTTATGACAATCAAGACAAGACAGACTTATATTACTATTTGAGTAATGTTTTAAAAAATATTTTTGAGACTTTGGTCTACTGACTGCATATTCCAGGCCTTTTTTTTTTTCTTTCTTTTTTTTGTCATACCACAGATAAAATTTGGAAAGCATTTCCTTGATCTTTGTTTCTTTCTTTTTTTAAAATTCACCAAAAAGACCAAGCCTAAAGAGATCGTCAAGTAATAAATTAACTGAACCAGACTTATCTTCTCTTAGTTTTCTAGTAGGCAATCAATTGCATTATCAATGAACTTTTTGTATTTTGTCTTCTAGCTCCAAATTTTTAGTTTAAAAAAGTGTTATTTACAAATGGGGTATTATTCTCATGTATTTCTGTATTTATAAGCTACCTCTAAATAATTTTGTTTTCCCTAAAATAATTTATTATTGCAATAACTTATTTATATAATATTAGCAATTTTTAGCCCCTTGGCCTTATTATGAGTCCCTGAATATCTCTGAATTGTTTGGAGGAGCACTCTAATTTCTCATGGAGACTTTAAACGGCACAACTCTGATTGTTATCAAAATTCTAAAACTGTAATTTCAGCATGTACTTCCTGATTCTTTGCCTTCTAATTTACGTTTGTCAGAATCAGTGTCTTGAGAAATAATGGAAAGAGATAAGCTGATTATAATTTATTCGGGAATCCAAAAGCAGAATAAAGTGAATAAAATTTAGACTGAGAAAAATTTTTTTGTGTGTGTTTGTAGTTAAAGCTATTTATTATCTGTTTTTTTTTTTCTGGTAGGTCTCTTCTTTTAAAAACTTTTATATTTACTTCTGTAGATACTAATTTTTGACATTTACAAGGTTTTATTTTTATATGTTTCCCAAGTATTTAACAGGAGTTGAATTTTAGATTTGCTAGTGTTAGAATATTGATTTAACACCTGATTTTAGCTAATTTATTTTTAGCCAGGCTTTTGACTATGTATAGCTTTTATAGAGGGTATTTGACCCTTAGAGTACTCTTATCTCTGTAAATGCGAATAATGCTATGATCAGAATAAAGTATAAATGCAAATAATACTATGATCAGAGTAAAGTATTAAACATTTTAGAAGAAAAAGAAAAGTACTAATATACATCTTAAAACTTGACAGAAATAAGTTAAAATTAATACTGACAACTGTCTACCTAATCCAATACTGAGTATTTTTTATGGATATTCAATTAAAGTGCCCATAAATGCTGTCTTTTAGTTAGTAACATTTGAAGTACTGCAGCTTTATCACTTTAAATAAGTGTTTATATTTTAGGCGTCTAAAATAAGTTCTGGCTCTAAAAATTTGAAAATGTGGTACATTTTAATCTTAAATTCTTAAGCCAAAAGGGCAGGCAAGTTAAGTATTTTGAAAAAGTCAATTAAAGTTTACTAGAATCACATAAAATCCTAAGTTAGTGATTTAAACAATTTTAATGAATGTGAAGTTTGTAAAGGTTTTGTTAAGTTTTAGACTATGCCTTTTATTTACATTATGTGGGATAGATGGTCTTGCTAGTGACTTTTCATTTGCTTAGTGTAATTTGTCTATGCATTTTAAAGTTCATTTTTACTGTTATATTTTGCCTCATCATTGCTTTCCTTAGCCTGCATTTTCTGATCATCTTCTGAATCTGCATCTTTTCTCTGCTACTTTCCTCCACAGCACCTTACCCACAGGGACCTAGGATTTACCTGTGTCCCAGCTCCCCCTCTCTCTCTTGTGGTTCCCTTCATCTTAAAAAGTCCTGTCTCCTCCTCTCGGAATCTAGCCTTATCCCTCATCATTCTAGCCTTGTCAGCCCAGTTCTGAGGAAAAGTGTTTCTTTCAGTGAAGAGCTGTTCCTGGCTGCTTCTGGTAGGATCACATTATGTCAGCTTTTTAATCCCTTTATTTTTCATGCTATAAAGAATTATTGGGTATTTTATACAAGATGCATTTCTATTATTTTTCTTACTGGTAGATGGAGTTAAACAGTTGGAAATATAAGGATATAATTGAGGATTGCTTGATGGCTAATAATGAATATTCTACCAAATTATATATTTAAAAAATTACATGTCTAAGGACATAGATCTGGATATTTACAATATTATTAGGTTCTTATTACTAGAGTTTCTGTTTTAGATGCTTTAGTTTCTTTTCCTTCATAAAAACTCCATTCACATTGGACCTTTATCATCGTGTTGCTAAACTGTACGATTACATTAATAAATTATTCTGTTTGAATCAGTTTAAGTCTAATTTTGGTGATATTCTTTGATTATCTTTTTTTTTCTGTCTGTTGCATTAATTATTAAATTTTCTGCTATATTTTCTGATATTTCACTTATCACTACAAATTTACATTTTATTTTCTGGCTTTTAATATGCTTCATATAAAGATCTTAGTTTCATTTCTATGTTTAGTATTGTATAGTCTCTAAAAATAATGTTTAGGTTACTTTAAGAAAAATCATTTTTTTTGTTTTTAAGAACAGAGTGGGACTATACACATGCTAACCTTTGTTTCCTTATCCAAGAACAGCTAAAAATGTAAAAGTTAATTAGTTCCTTTTTAAGTCATTGTAGTAAATTTGGCTGTATGCATCTTCAGTTTTGAAAGGGATGGGATTAATTCTAGTCTGTAGAGCACTGGCTTCTTACCTGTCCCCTGATTTCTGTGATTCTTTGATGATAGTTGATCTATTGGTATGGTCAGAACAATAAAATAAGGTAGGGAAAGAAATGTAAAATTAAGCCTTAAAAAATACATCTAAGAGCTTGGGAAAGATAATTCTTTCATCCATAACTGTGTACATTTGTGATGTGTCTATTACATGTCCGTGGTTTTTTTGTTTATTTTGAAAAAAATTTATGTTGATTTTTGTGAATGAGCATTGACAAGTATGAAATTACTGTTTTGTCATGATATGTTTAGAAATGGGAAGTTACAAGAAAATAGATTTGACTATATTTCAAAATCACCCAAATTTTATGCTTTTTAGAGAATTTTGGAATATTTTAAGTGAGCACAAGTAGTGCTTTTGTCTCTATATTTACATTTAATCAGACATTTAATATTTCTCATATTTTAGTATTCTTAAATTGTTAGCTTAGTAATGTTATTATCTTTATTTTTAAAATTATTAGTCAGCTTTTAAAATGGAATATTTTGCAAAGATTCATCACCTTAACATAATTTTTTAAATAATTTTCGGAAAAAAATTAAGTCCCAAACTAGCTGTGGTCAATAGGACTCTGACATCTTGCATCTGTAGAAAACTTTGTGAATAAAAATAGAGTAAAATATGTGCTTTAGTTGTCATCTCCAATGATTTAAATGTTTTGATCATTTTATCATATTTCTACTCATGATGTTTATGAAGATGAATGCAATTAAACTTTGTTTCCATAGTTGTTTTTTTTTTTTTTTGGTTGTTATTTATGTACTGATGTTCTGTAGGAATGGGAAGTGGTAGTGCTGGAAAAGAAGGGGGGCCATTTAAAGCTCTTTTAAGACAACAGACTCAATCAGCGTTGGAACAGAGGGTAAGATTCACTTGATATTCTATATTCTTACACTGTGAATATGACTTTGTTATCTTATGCTTCAATATACTTACATGCTTTCATGAATTGTTTTGATTACATATCTATAATATTGCAGTTTTGAAGTCCAAAATGTAGTTAACGTATCAAAGTAATTTGTTTATGCATAACTACTTTTGATTTGGAATAATTATATAAAAATTTTTGTTTTGTCCTCCAATCTTTTATCAGAAATACTATTTTTGAGAATACCTATTGAATGCTGAAGTTATTTTCCATTACATTTATTATTGGAAAGGAGATGGTAAACATTTTTGCAGAAAAAAATATTCCAGTAGCATTTTATTATTTTTAAAGTAATTCCTTAGTATATTAATATATTTATTCGCTAAGATTACTTTTATCATTTGCCCATCTCTTAGGAATAAAAAATGTCCAGATTCTGTATTTCTAAAGATTAATATAAATAATATGGTTGCATTCACTGCAGTATCTAAAAAAATAAATAATGTGGTTATTCAGTATAATGCATCTATTTTAGTTATTGTAAGTTTAATATTTAGTTATATTTGTTGATTAGGAAAATAAGTAGTTACAGTTTTTGGATGATTTCTCTCTCTCTTTTCTTTTAAATAAACTTCATTGCTAAGGGAGGATCGCCTCATAGGTTCTGTAGAAGGCGGGTATGTTTCTGAAAAATGTGTGAGAGCCTATTTCTTGTATTGAAAGCTTTTCTAGTTTTAATCTTGGTCATTTAAGTTTTATTTAAGCTTTTAGCAAATATTGACAGCTTTTTTCTTTTCATAATGCAAAGTTGTTTTTGTTTTTTTTTTTTTTAAATTTAGTAGCACTGTGAGGCTCATGTTCTTTTTTCTACTAACTAATATGGTGCATGGTTATATATGTCATGTCAATAATTTTAAGACAGTTCTATAGCTTTCATTATGTCTGATTTGGAAGCTATAGGCATTTACAGAGTTTTCTTTTACATGTTCTGTATTACACTAGCATTTGGGGGAAAAAAGGTGAAACAGTAAATACCTGTAAAAGGATACATTTCGTAAAATAAAGGTATTTCTCCTCTAGAGGTTGGTACAATTTATTTTTCTACACTTTTCCCTCCTTATGCTGACAGTATCTGTGTATGCACTGTTTACCTAGACAAGGCTGGAGAGAGCAGAGCTGAACTAAACAATGATGAGACTTTGGCTCATTTTTTGCTTCATGCTCTATATAAGTAGCAGTTACCTTTCAGCTACTCTCGCACCTTGCAGGCAAACCTACAACTGCCACCAAAAGGCCCACCTACACATTCAAATTAACTATTAATACCAAATGTAACAAAAGACTGAAAATGTTGAAGAGTGTCAGAGTGAAGGTGTGTGTCTGCTTACCATTTTTTTTAGGCCAGAATTTTTTTTAGGCTCTTACCTCTTTCCCTGTCCCATTTTTATGTTCTCTACAGAGCTTTTCACAGTAGGAATATGATTGTTTGTAATCAAATTACCATTCTGGAATTCACATCAACAGAAAAATGTAGGTTCCCTTGAAATTCGATATAATAAGATTTTACTTGGATATGTACCCGTGACTTTACTACCTGTACCAAGACTCTTTAAAAACAATCTCACTTTAAGGGAAAAAAAAATATTAATCAGTGAAAAGCATTTTGAATTTAGTTTGGATAAAATTTGTGTTTTCAAATATGCATTTAAACATTCTTAAAATTTTGGACACATTTACACATTGGACATAGATTACTAAATAATCTTCATGGAATTAACAGCAAAGGTGTAGAGAACTATAGTTTTCATTTACAACTTTGTCAGTCCTGAGTTGGCAGTACATCTACATCATCTAACTTACTTAAGTAACTGTTCTCAAGTAAGCAGCAAAAGCGTTATCATCTTTGGCTTTCCTATTCACTGGCCACTGCTGTTAGTATGTCTTTTGTTTTGGGAAAAACAAGTAGTATGAAGAATTCTCCCCTTATGTGTTTGGATACGATTTAATTCTACCAGTCTGAACACTAGATTATGTCATTGACATGATCTACTTATGTGATGTTTTTTTTTTTGTTTGTTTTTTTTTTTGAGTCGGAGTTTCACTCTTGTTGCCCAGGCTGGAGTGCAATGGCGCAATCTCGGCTCACCGCAACCTCCACCTCCTGGGTTCAGGCAATTCTCCTGCCTCAGCCTCCTGAGTAGCTGGGATTACAGGCACACGCCACCATGCCCAGCTAATTTTTTGTATTTTTAGTAGAGACGGGGTTTCACCATTTTGACCAGGACGGTCTCGATCTCTTGACCTCATTATCCACCCGCCTCGGCCTCCCAAAGTGCTGGGATTACAGGCTTGAGCCACCGTGCCCGGCTATGTGATGTTTTATATTTATTTTTTTAATTTTAATTTTTATCCCTTGGTAAACCACCCTTAATCAATTGTATGGCTTTTTTTTTTTTCTTGAGGAAAGATAAACTTTATTTGCCCAATCTCTTTTACAGATCATTCAAGTAGCAGTTCTCAAAATTAAACAGAAACATTAAAAAAAAGTTGACAAGATCTTGGCAGTAGTTGCCAGGTTTTTGGGAGATGAGAAATAGAGATAAAAGTTTTATTTAGATTTAAGTTTCACCTATGAATTTTTTGATGTAAACAGATATTTAATTAATTAATTAGAAGAGAGGCTCTCACTATAATGCCCAGGCTGGTTTCAAACTCCTGTGCTCAAGTGATCCTCCCATCTCAGCTTCTCAGAGTGTGGGGATTACAGACGTGCGCCACCGTGCTCAGCCAGATTTGTTTTTCAATAAGACTTTTATTTTACCTGTGAGAAAACATGGAAGTACTTTTTTAGCTCCTTCAGCAAAGAAACCTAGTTAACTTAGTTTAACTTAGCATTTCCTAAATATATTGTACCATAGAACTTTTCTTTTAAAATACCTGTTAGTAAGGAACACACTTTGGGAAACATTGATATAAGGTAAAATCTTGGAGAATTTTGATCTTTTCAGAAGTGGGAGTAAAATTGCACAATAAATCATGGTAGAAATCTATTAGGGATTTTATACCTAGAAAGTTTGGTCTTTCACAATAATAAAAAGAGTATTTGATTTGAAGAATAAACTATTTAAGCATCTCCTAAGAAAAATCCCATTTAAATCTCTTTTTAAAAGAATACTCCCATTGTGCTCTGATGATTTTTCAACTACCCTGTCTTTGAGTACACGCTATTAAATATTTTTATGCTGCCTGCCCTTGGCTTATGACAAAGCATCAGCATGTCAAGTTTATGTAGGTACCACAGGGAAAGCTGCTTTAAATATGAAGACTTTCTGGAGAAAATTTCTTCTGCAGTTCCTGAAATTCACATCTAGGCATTGAAAGCAGGGTGTGCTTGGGCTGATCTTAAGGAAGCTTTTCTTTTCTTTTTTTTCCTTTTGAAATGAAGTTTTGCGGGCCGGGCGCGGTGGCTCACGCCTGTAATCCAAGCACTTTGGAGGCCAAGGCGGGCGGATCACCTGACGTTGGGAGTTCAAGACCAGCCTGACCAACATGGTGAAACCCCTTCTTAAAACAAACAAACAAACAACAAAAAAATGAAATGAAGTTTTGCTTTTCTTGTCCAGGCTGGAGTGCAGTAGCACAGTCTCGGCTAACTGCAGCCTCCACCTCCTGGATTCAAGCAATTCTCCTGCCTCAGCCTCCTGAGTAGCTGCCATTACAGGCTCCAGCCATCACACCTGGCTAATTTTGTATTTTTAGTAGAGACAGGGTTTCACCATGTTGACCAGGCTGATCTTGAACTCCTGACCTCAGGTGATCCACTTGCCTCGGCCTCCTAAAGTTCAGGGATTACAGGCGTGAGCCACCGCACCCAGCAGAAGCTATTCTTTTATGCAGAAGAAAAGTCTATAAATTCATCAGGTATAATAAAATCAAGTCCTTAACTCTAAATTTAGATAGTAAAGCCAGATGATAAAGTTTGTTGCTCAGGAAGAGTCTAGGAAGAAAAGGCCCTCTTCACTTCAGTTTTTCATATAAAAAAAATGAAGATAATAGTACTTCCCTCATGGGAAAGGTTATAGAACACAGGCCACAGAGCCTGGCATATAGAAGCACTTGACAGTAGTTGCCAGTTATGGTGGTGATGATAGGTATTTAACAACCTGCTATAGATTTCAGCAGTAGCCCTTCTAATGAGAGAATTGTATGAAGATGGAATTTTGGCTAAATAAAATGACATTTTAATTCGTTACAGGTTAAATTTTGTGTTTTAAAGTGAATTGTTGTGCTGATTAGGTGAACTGGGGACCTGTAAAGTAGAGTTTAAGTTGGCAGAGTAGGTTGTGGCATCTTTGGGCAGCCATTGCCGTGTGTGCTTCTTTCTGACCAACTCCAGTATGATTCTTTCCTTCGTTTCTTTATCTCAAACAAAGAAACCTTGGGGAGAATGGTAAAGAACCCTGAATTGAGAAGTCATTTAGCTTCATTTTTTCATACTTCCGTAAAATCTTATATGAAAATGTTTTCTAATATATAATTTACCTATTTTATTTCTTTTAGAAGGAAGAAGGAAGCACTGTCTTCCATTTAGCTTACAAAAATGTTATTTTCAGTGTCTCTTGCCTAGATATTTAAAAGATTTAAGTATAAAGATTACATATAAAGTGATTTTTTTTATTCTTTGAGACCACCACATGCCTCAGATAGTTTGAGGAAATATTAAAATTTAAGTGATCCTAACACTGAAAAAAAAATCTGAAAGATCTAATACATTACTAATAATATAAGCTCACCTATACGTTTCTCATTTAAAACTCACATTTATAAAGTTCAAATGGACTTGCTCTGTGATTACCAAATTGTTTTCCCAAATTTTTTAACACTTAGTATTTGTTGTGTAATTACCCCATATGTGCTGTACCTAACGATAAATCCATTCACATATTTTTATGACTCAAAACTTCATTTACATTAAAATTTCCTAACAATAAATATGAATTTATTATGAGGTAATCTTCTAGTTTGTACAGTTTTCATTAGATTTCCAGAAATAAAACTTTGAGGGCAGAAAAAAAAGTTTAAATGGAAATAAAGATGCATTTTGACTAAACATATTGTAATACATTTATTATAAGTGACATATTCTCCTTACATCCTCTTCCTTATTTTCCCTCTACCTGTAGTCTCCTGAGCCAAAGCTAACCACTTTCATACATTAGTTTTTTACCCTTTTTTCCTATATAGCCTAAATTTTTCTTTCTCATTTTTAAAGGTTACTTCTAAATTTGAACTGAATTTATTTCTAAATATGTGTGTGTACACACACACACACACACACACACACACATTTGTTTATACTCAACCTTCATGGGTTACTGAGGTGTGTAGGACTGATGGCTTTTGTGCTAAATGATTCCAAGTTGCTGTGCTTTGTGATTCTGCTTTTGTGAGTTTGTATTCTCCATGCTTGAAGCAGCCAGTGAATAATTCTTGCTGCTTTTAATGTGCCTGCTTCTGGTAGTATTCTGTATCTCTTTACCAGCTTTTTTGTTGTTGCATTTAATCTGTGGTGGTCTTGAAAGTAAGATCATGATAAATTTTAGAATTGTATGTTCTTAAGATACATATTTGTAACTACTATAATATTATAGTATGAATATGATCTGTGGGAGTCTGCTATGAATAAAGTATGTGAGCTTTAGTGCTTGAGGCTGTAACAGTTCTTTTGACTGTTGAGAGCCCTGTTTTGCTCATTTTTCTCAATTGTGTTCAAAATAGCTGAGGCTAGTGGTAAGTGATTCAGTCAAGTGAGGTACATTAATCTTGGAGCCAGACAGGTCAAACATCAAGTTTTCCTTACTTGCATCCAGTATGTAAATATGAGGGGCCTCCATGTTTTCACAGGAGCTCCGTTTCCTTATTGGGTGCTATTTCAATGAATTTCCTTTCTCAGCTTTTCCATTTCTCTTTGTTGTGTTTCTCTTTATCTTTAAGTTGATGAATTTCATGCCTTTGACAGAGAAGGGGAGAATAAAGCATTCAAGAACTTGTGGAATTTTATTCCCTCCCTAGCTGTTATCTCTATACCTTTCACGTTTTCTTAATATACCTTTATGCACTTGGATTTGTTCCTGCCACCATGGGGTTGATAGAGTAAGGAGAGTAAATAACGTCACACAATGATTCTCTACCCACCTCAACTTGATACTTGCCCCTATCCTCTTTCTCTTAACCCACACTACTTATCCTCTCACTTACCCCCCCTTAGTCCCACTTTCATTTAGGTCTGTTGGCCCCAGGCATCTTTACCAGTGTCTTACGTTGGGTTTTCATGTGAAAGGGATGTCTACACCACTGAGAAATAGAAAATGGGGTATAGGGATAGGGTAGTTTCCACATCTCATTGAGAAGTTGAATCAGAGTTGGATTGAGAGGAAGGAAGAATGTGTTTCAAATAAATTGAAAAAACACTTTCTTTTTTCCTCATTGAGAACTGATGAAATGAGTCTTTAGATTCTGTATAACATTGTATATATGGGGAAATGGATTTAGAACTCTAAACATTTAATAAAACTTTTAATTACAAAGCATGTGTAATATATAATGGGTGGCCTTTTATTTCAAGAGATGTAATACATTTGCTTATGACAAGCTTTTTAATAAGCAATGTTTTTACACTTTACACATGGTGAGTTGTATTTTTCCCCTATTCTTTCCACTAGGAATTTCCATTTTTTACCTTGACGGCGTTTCCTCCTGGATTCCTTGTACACGTTGGGGGTGTAGTTAGTGCACGTTCTGTGAAGCTTTTGGATCGTATCCACAATCCTGGTATGTTCTTAAAAAGTTTCAATGTTTCCTTTATTTAAACTGTGGTTATTAAAATTGATGTTTATGATTTTTTAAAGCCAAATGTATCTGAAAAGAGAAAGGAAAGCATAAACTAGCATGTTACTTAAATATATTTGTAGTAATCTTAATTATAAATAATCAAACTAAAGGATATTTTAGTTACTTTTCTGTAAAAATCAAATCTTGGTTCATTTTTGGTCACAGTATCACTTTAAGGAAATCCTTAAATAACTTTTGTCAGCTATTTTCTTTGACCCAGGGGAGATAAAAAATTTTATAAATTGACTATTACGGCCGTTAGTTTAAGATGTTAATTCTTTTCATTAGCAGTGGCTCTTTATAGATTACTTAATTTCCTTGTTCTTAAAACAGGTATTGAAAAAAATATAATTGTAAAGCTGGGCACAGTAGCACGTGCCTATAGTCCCAGCTACTCATGAGGCTGGAGCAAGAGGATTGCCTGAGCCCAGGGCAACATACTTGGGCAACAGCCTGGGCAACACAACGAGACCTATGTAAACACTGTGCGTGTCATAACAGATTGGTAGCAGAGGGAACCAGATGAGTCTATGGGTCAAAGACCCTCTTCCTGAGCAGGCGACTGGAGCTGTCATTTCTTAGAGCTCATTGTGTAACTTGAACACACTGGGACTGTCTTAGACCATGGCCGTCTGTCCCCTCCAGCCTGCCCAGGCAGCCCTCAGGAGAGATAGAACCCAGATTCCAGAACTGTGCTGGGATTCCGCTCTGTCATTGGTGGAATCCAGCCTGGGCAACAAAGTAACTGTAAACATTGTGTAGAGTATCTAAGAATTGAAAAACAGACAAACCAACCAACACCTGGTCCCACAGTTTCTTTTACGTAGCTATTTGTTCTGTTTAAGCAAACCAGTAAGCATAGTAGCTCACTTCTTTAAAATATAGGACCATAATTATAACAGCAAGTAGAAATGAAAGTCCCAGTGGATTCAGGCCCTTGGATCAGAAATACTCTGGTGATTTCTGTACGTGTAAAACAAGCATGATAGATAGTGGGAACTTTCCATATGGAATGTGTTCTTGCATTTCTCGTTGACTAGATGCTCAATCAGCATATGTTAAACCTGAAGTTATGTTAGTATTCTTATTTGGCATATAGACATATGTATTTTTTGAAAAATTTAAATTGTGACATCTAGTAACCTCTTTGTGAGACTTGTATTGACAGCTATAAAAAGAAGAGTAAAATGCTTTGAAGTTATTGAACCAAAACATTGTAGATAATGACTATTTTTGAGGATACAGAGTGTTATTATTCTTTAATATTTTTTAAAAGTTTAATTTATGCCTTGTAGTTTTATGTCATTTGAGTTTGTTACAGAGAAGACTAGGATTCTCTGGACCCTGAATGAGATTTCAGAAAAAGAGTGCAAGTCAGGTTTATTTAACTCTGAAGCTGGGCAAATATGTATTATCTTTTAAGCACTGGTTTTCTCTTTTTTTTTTTTTTCCTTCTTTAGTTTTTTTTCTCCTGTTTCTTATTTTTGTGGACAATATAAGATGTTTATTGTAGTATTTGTATACAGTACTTAAAGAAAAATTCAGACTGATGCCAGTTTAACATATTGGGATCTTGAAGATTATGCCAAATTCTACATGTTTGTGTTAAGGAACTTGAATTATTTGGAAAATGCAAGGAAGTACTCAGTTAAGATACCTGACATCAACCTTGTGACCCAAGACTAGTTACCTGTATTTCTATGGACCATTAACTTAAATATTCTAATATATGGTACCCACTGATCTGATAGTTAGAAACATGGTTTCAGGAATATATTTAATTATTGGTGATATCTTCTGCTTACTGAAAAACATTTTGGGCCGGATGTGGTGGCTCACGCCTGTAATCCCAGCACTTTGGGAGGCCGAGGTGGGTGAATCTCCTGAGGTCAGGAGTTTGAGACCAGCCTGACCAACAAGGTGAAACCCTGTCTCTACTAAAAAATATAAAAATTAGCCGGGCGTGGTAGCAGGCGCCTGTAGTCCCAGCTACTTGGGAGGCTGAGACAGGAAAATTGCTTGAACCCAGGAGCAGAAGTTGCAGTGAGCTGAGATTGCGCCACTATACTCCAGCCTGGGCGATGGAGTGAGACTCCTGTCTCTTAAAAAAAAAAAAAAAAAAAAATTTAAATTTTATTTTGTTGCTTCCATGTACTCTGAGTAAGCTATAGAGTCTGGGAGAACAAATGAAGTTTACTTAAATATAAGGTAGAGAGTTGTATTTAAAATGTTACTACTTAAAAAAAAAAAAAAAAAAACTAATTGCACTTTGGGATTTATTTTATCTGCCAGTTCATGCTAACTTTGCAAGAAATCTAAGAATCTAATCCCAAGGAAGAAAGAATAGTTTTTATTATGGAATGTATTTTGTGTATTATAATTACCAGCTCACCCATTCTCTTCCTTTCCTCCCAGTTTAGAGCATTTTTTCAGTTTACATGTAGAAATTCTCAGTTATTAATGGATTATTTCCCAAAAGATCATGGACATACATATAAGTTCTTTCAATGATGTATGAGTTACATTTTCATTTTGTTTTATTTTTAGTTAAATACATATAATTATTCTAATGGTTCCAATATTATGTTATTTTGGTTTAAAGTATTACATTCTGACTGGGCACAGTGGCTTACACCTGTAATCCCAGCATTTTGGAGGCCAAGGTGGGCAGATCGCTTGAGCTCAGGAGTTCAAGACCAGCCTAGGCAGCATGGTGAATCCCTCTCTCTACCAAAAATACAAAAATTAGCTGGGCGTGGTGGCACATGTCTGTGGTCCTATCTACTTGGGAGGCTGAGGCAGGAGGATAACTTGAACCCTAGAGATGGAGGTTGCAGTGAGCCGAGATTGTGCCACTGCACTCTAGCCTGTGTGACAGAGGGAGACTCCATTTCAAAAAATAAAATGTCACATTCTTCAGATTCTTTTATGTATTACGCACTAAAAAGGAACATTTTCTTAAGAACATTTACTAATCTCCAGGCCTCTTAAGTAATTATTTATGAAGAAATTTTAATATATTGAAGAAAAGGTGAATCTTAAAACTCTAGATTAACATCTACTCTAATGATGATGTTTTAATTTTGTGACACTGAGGTATTCTGTTGAGAGAAACTTAACAGTGGATTGAGATGCATGTGCTAATGTTAAAAATGCCGTGTTTGCATTCTCAAATGAATTTTGCAGCTATTTTTTGACTAGTGAATATGGGAAATTTTTGTTTCATTCTCAGTGTAGAAGGGAAAAAAATCTTATTTTAAAACCACTACCACCTGCCAACTATGGATTATTATTTTGGAAGCTTTTTTTAAAGAACACCCTCCTTTGGTAAATATTGAGCAAACAGGTGACTACGACAAGGGAAAGAATGGGGTGGTTTTAAAAATGAAGGTAATTAAATAATTAGATTAATGTTAGATTACTATAGCATGCTCCTTCTCCCCTTTCTATTTCTACTTCTTATTAACTCTGCTGTCTGTGTCTTTCCAGTTCCTGTCGAGTGGTGTTTGTCAATTGCGTTCTTGTTTGTAGTGTTTTTTGTTTTATTTCTTCTATTCTGCACCTAAAACTGATCTACTAATTTGCTGTTTTGAACTCAGCCTTTGTCGGAATTATGGGTAACACAAGATCTTACAAACTGCTAGACTGGAATAGTTTCAATTCAGGTATTTTGATGGTCATTCAGTACTACATATGCTGACAAAAATTATGGCAGCTCAGTGAAGTTTTTAGAAATGTTCTAGATGAAGTAGGTTTAAAGTCAATTCAGTTATACAGTTATATTCTGTGCTGTGTATTTAATAACTTGTAATTTCAGTGGAAATACAAATAAAAAATGTGTTAACGAAAATGAATTAATGAAATCCGCAGACATACCATAAATTATCAATAACTTTTCTTAGGTGATTAACTTCAGAATGATCATTTAAATTTATATTTATTACATTTTTGATGGTTTTTATATCAGGTAAATGATGTAGGCGTTAACTTTATAATTAAGCAAATATTTTTTAAATATTTATAAGTAATTTTTTATAAATCTAAAAATAAAGTATATTTAGATTTGAATAGAATATGTTTAGTGTTCCATAGAATACTGTAAAAGTATAACTGTTAGCATTTTTATTTATAATTCTAGAAGTGTTCCAAGATTTGATAACTAAGAACAGACCTTTTGGGGATTAACAGCTTTCTTAAACTTTCCTCCTTCCCTTTCCACTTGTGAATATAATTTTTAAAAAGTAACTTTATGTATTAATATAATTTGTAGCTTTTAAATAAACCAGACTGAGATAGAGAGCTTTACAGCTGATGATGTGCTTTAGAGTCAAAGCAATTAATTTTTCTTTTTGATAAAAACATTAATAATGTATATTTCTAATCGTTTATATTATATTTTTTAGATTGAAATAATACAACCATTTTGATTCAGTGTCAGAAGCTGGTATGTTGCCTAAATAAATTTTTCAGTTGTTTGTCTTAGAAAGTATATCTTACAGAAAAGCAAAAGCACCAAGGGGCTCAGAATTTTAGATAATATCTCATAATCTTTTCAATATTGAAAACTTTTTTGTTCTTAGGAGTTCAAGATATAAGTTTTGATGTAAGTAATGCATGTTTGACTATGAAGGAAATCATGTTCATTATGTAGATTAACCTAAATTCAGTCCGGTAAACCATATAAGTCCAACCTTTGCAGATGTAGATTGATGTCAATTGGTAAATCCTCGGGGAAATTTCCTATTCAGGTTTTTACCAGCATGCTGTCATTGATTAGAATTAAAGTGATCATTTGTTAGTGTAATATTATATAATTGGATTTTAGTGAGAAATTAGAAAATACCTTGCTAGGTTAATATCTTAAAAATAAGAAATTTTAAAACATAGGCAGATTAATATAGTGGAAAGATATATAGAAAAAGGCCATTAAGAGCAGATTGATCATTAATAATATAAGGAACTGATATCTTGTCAGGGCAGAGATGTTTAGGGTGAGACATGTGTTGGTCAAATGATGGAACAATCTTGGAAATGGAAATAGTAATAATTAAATCTTACAGATATTACAAGGACATTGTCCCACACAAGCCAAATTACACTTTGGCAAAGAAAAACATGGTTGAGGAAGCAGTATATCTTGCCATCATTTAAAATAATGTCAGGTAGGACGTGTATGAAGGAAAAAGGTGGATATAAGTTATAGAATGTTAAAAGAACATAAACGATGACACCTTGTAGTGTGCTTTTGATTTAGTAATTGGAATCTTTCTGGTAAGAGCTAATATATCTTCAGAAAACTGATTTTCATACTTGTTTAGGAAAAATAACTTGATAATTCTGAAGAAAAATTTGAGATAGATAAACATATGCAAATCATTTATGTATTATTCTTTGTAATTTGAGAATATTTAGCCATTGTTCTCCTATGTGGAAAATCAAGAATTGACCATGTTAGGAAAATAATTGTTGAGATATCATTTTTATTAGGGCTAGAATTGCTCATTCACACTGTATTTCCTGGCTTCTTCACACCATGTGTTATATGAGGCATCATCATTTTAATAATAACCTTCCAAGAGAAAAGAAAAATACATACCACCATATTAAACATACCTATTAATCATTAGACATTCTTATTTCAGAAACATTAAAATGTGGAAAGATATAGGAAAACATTATTATACAGTCATGTATAAAATATGACAGATTATGCAAGCTTATATCAGAATTTATTTTGTGCCATGCAATTTGCTAGGTACTAGGGTGGAAAGATTGCCAACCCTACTGCCTTCATGAAGCTCATATTCTTGGAGGATAGAAAAACATTAAATAATTTACTGTGTGGTATGGTGTGATACAAGATAAAGAGTTAAAGAGGAAGCCTTGATTAACTCTGTGTATGAGGGAAGCTTATAGAAGTGGTAATTTTTGAGCTCATATTTGAAGGATACATGGGAGAATCACATAGATTTATATTTCAGTGTTTTGGGACCCATGTTTATACATACTTTGCGTATGGTTTTGAAACTTCCAGCATTTACAAAATGATATCCTAGCCAGTACTTATTTGATGATGTTTACATAGTTACTGCATACTTACTAGGTTGCTTGCCACTGAGTACAAAGTATCTTGGTTGGTTTAGCATTTTTTTTTTTGTCTTCTTTTCTTCTGCCATGCTGCCTTAGTTTCTGTTAACTACAGTGTACAGTGTTAGAATTTTTTTTTTTTTTTTTTGGAGATAGAGTCTTGCTGTGTCTCCCAGGCTGGAGTACAGTGGTGGGATCTCAGCTCACTGCAATCTCTGCCTCCCGAGTTCAAGTGATTCTTGTGCCTCAGCCTCCCAAGTAGCTGGGATTACAGGCGTGTGCCACTATGCTGACTAATGTGTGCGTGTGTGTGTGTGTGTGTGTGTGTGTGTGTGTTGGTAGAGACGGGGTTTCACCATGTTGGCCAGGCTGATCTTGAACTCTGACCTCAAGTGATCCGTCTGCTTTGGCCCCCCAAAGTGCTAGGATTAGAGGCGTGAGCCACCACGCACAACCTTAGGAATGTTTTTATAGAGCAGGAAGAAGGGAACTATTATTAGAATTTATTTTTAAAATGTTGCTTTTACTTATCATACTGCTTATATCATACTGCTTATATCATCTGGCTTGGTAACAGACTTTGAGAAAGGCCAGGCAGGCGAGTGTTGCTGCTAGGAAGGAGGATGCACCATTTACAAATCTTGTGTGTGACATTCTAGGAATGGAAGTACATAAGAATAAGGGTAGCCCATAGTCACATTTGCCTTAGGTCATTGACTATAGAGTGGAGAATAGACTTAAAGGCAATAAGACTAGAGACAGGGCGATGGGTTAGTAGAATGTGCAGTAACCTTGGCTACATAGGTAACCTAGGTTTTGGTGGTGTAATAGGAGAGCTACATTTATCAAGAACTTACTATGTGGCACGTACTCTTTTAAGTGCTTTATAATTGTAGGCCATTTAATCCCCAAAACAGATCTATGAGGTTGGCACTAATTTCCTATTTTGTAGGTGTGCAAAGTGAAACAGTAGTTTTCCAAAGGTGAATAGTTAGAAAGTGGCTGAGCCACAATTTGTACCTGAGTACTCTGGCTTCAGAACCAATGCTCTTAACTATAAATTAAAGAGACATTTTGAATATAATAACAGCAGGGCCTAGTAACTAGTGAAATGTGGCAAATGAAGCAGGTTCTTCTCTGCTTTCAAGGCAAGAGAAAGGAAGGGGAATTATTCCACATACCTACAGCTCTAAAATTATACTTAGCAGTTGAGTTCTACCCTTTGGAAACTCAAGTTTATTTGAAAGTTGAGATGAGAAAATATTTAGAGTAAATTTTAATAGTCCTAACTCATTTTTCAAATAAGTATAATCTTTTATTTTTTCCCCTAAGTTACCACTAGAAGTATTTGAGTCACTCACATATATAATTTTTAAATCAGTGATAATCTTGATAGTTGCAGATAATTTGCTATTTTTTCTCTGTATAGATTGCATGTCAACTTAGATATTTTTTCAGGAAGTGGCAAGAAGAAATAAAGTAGTTATATAGTATGGTACAAAATGTAATTATATATTAGTTGGAGATAGCTTTCGAACTTAGACAAAATTTTTGAGTTTATATTTTAAGTCCTCAGTTAGTAAAACAAGTTGTTTAACACTAGATAGCCTTTCGTTTGTTGTTGAGAATATATTTAAAGGGTTTTTTTTTTTTTTTTTTTTTTTTTTGGAGACAGAGTTTTGCTCTTGTTACCCAGGCTGGAGTGCAATGGTGCTGTCTTGGCTCACTGCAACCTCCGCCTCCTGGGTTCAGGCAATTCCCCTGCCTCAGCCTCCTGAGTAGCTGGGATTACAGGTGCATCCCACCATGCCCAGCTAATTTTTTGTATTTTTAGTAGAGACGGGGTTTCACCATGTTGACCAGGATGGTCTTGATCTCTTGACCTCGTGATCCACCCGCCTCGGCCTCCCAAAGTGTTGGGATTACACGTGTGAGCCACCACGCCCAGCCTTAAAGGGTTTTTAAACAAATTTTATTTTAGGCAGATTGTAGCTCTTAGGACATATTATTCTTAAGATTTTCTCAATCATATGATAAACTTTTACTAGTAAAAAGGCAAGCTTTGGATTAATGGTTCAAAATTCGAAAATATTAGTCTCTTTTATTAGCCATCAGAATTGTAGTTGTTTAGAAAGTTCATTTTATTTTAGGAGCAAAAGTGAGTAGTTATGTCCTATAAAAATAAGTACAATGATTACTTTAAAAATATTTAATGGTAACAAAATTGTGAGTCACCTGATTATATAAGGATATATTTATAGAATGTACGTATCAGTCTGCTCATCTGAATGAATTTTTTTTTAATTTTAAGTTTTAATTTGGTTAAGTTTTTATTCAGTGGATGTTTGTGGAGTGCCTACCATGTGTTGAACACTGTGTTGGGTACTGGAAACATCATTGTTAAGCCAGGCAGACATCCTGTACACACAAGTCTAGGGTAATTCTTACATTATTTTGGTGTATGGATATGTGTGTATTAGTTAAATGGAAATAGGTGGTAGGCTCTCTTGGAACTTAAATTCTGCTGATAATCTCAGCAATCATTATTTTTTCTGAGAGATACTTATGAGCAGATGTGCAGACTGTACCTAAAGTAGTTACACAGCTTTTGGTTTTCAGTATTTTAATAAGGTTTTCAGGAATTAGATAAATAAGAGTTCAAGATCCAAGATGGCATAAATATAGCATGTGTGATATGTGAGCTTTTCTATATTACCAGTAATTTTTAGAGTAATGAAAATCCAGTTACATTGTGTGTGTGTGTGCAGTGAAATATCACAATTATGGAGTAGATTACACATTTGACTTTCTAAATTTACAGATAGTAGAGACTCCAGTATGGTCCAACATGGATTATATCTTAGCTTCATCCTAACATCCCAAATTACTAGGTCTTGATGTTTGCTCTGTATTTGCACATGACTTCCTCTTGTAATGAGAATCTTCTTCCTAGTCTACTGATCCTCACCCAGTTTAAGGTTGTATACTCCTTTGAACCTGAACTCTCTAATTTCTTTTTCATTAGGGGAAATTTATCTTCTTCAAGAGGTTGGCAGTTGGAATGTTATTTTCAGGTATTTGGGAATATAGCTTTTTATACTGTCCTTTAACATGATAGATTATCATTGTATTAAAACCCTTTGATCCAACCTAACATTTTATCTTTTTTTGTTGATTTATAAATTAGGTTGAATAACTGTCCATCTTTTAAATACTTTTTTTTATTGATATATAATATTTGTTTATATTTATGGGGTACATGTCTTGTATTGTTACATTCATAGAATAAGTAATGATCAAATCAGGGTATTTGGAGTATCCATCACCTTGAATATTTATCATTTCTATGTGTTGGGAACATTTCAAGTTCTCTTATAGCTGTTTTGAAATATACAGTACAGTGTTAACTATAGTCACTCTGCTTTAAAACATTAGAACAATTTATTTTTTCTTCTAACAATATTAGAAGAATCTGCAAGGCAGAGTTATTCTCTCCCAGAGCTATATAAAAATGGATTGAACTTAACGTTTCACGTAGTCAGTGTTTCTTAGTTGCCAAATGTGTGATTGCCTAAAATCTCAAAGAGGTTGAGTTTAATAACGGCATATTATGTTGAGTTGTTCACATGGTTATTTTCTGAGATATAAACTGCCATTTTAGAATTTTACCAGTTTCACCTGTACTTCAGAAACAAGATAAAAAGATGGCAAGATATCAAGCTGTGGCCATGCTCTAGAAATGTAACATGGTAAAAATGAATGAATGTTGACATCAACCCAAGTGTACTGACATTGCCCCTAAAGAGACATCAGTGAGGATTGATTTAGAGTTCAGTTCATGCCTGCAATTAAGAGGATATATTAAAAGATTTGCGATATTATCTACAAAGAGTTTTAACCCATAGAAGAAATACAAAATAGTATAAAATATAATTTGTATAATAATTAAAAATTTCTCCTAAAATGATAACCTTTTATAATTATAAATAATTCTGTAGATTATCAGGAGAAACATGGTGTTTAAGGTGAAGAGATTTCATTCTTAACATCTTTGAAATGTTTATTAAATGTGACCTCACATCTCAGCTGTATATTCTTCAAATACCTAAATTATATCATTTCATGTGTGGCATATATAGTTGCCACAAAGTTTTAAATCAGACTCTGTTTGCTTTTATATTAGTATAGTATCCTCAATTTTGTACTTTGTAGGGTGAATAAAATAATTCAAATTCATTAGTGTGTTTCTTATGGGAAAACACAATACATTCCTATAAGACTGTAGTTACCAGTTTTTAAACCTTAAACATTCTATTATAGGGATTAAATACTATGATATCTCTGAATTTTTATTGGTAATAGGTTAGGCTGAATCATAATTACTACTTGAGGATTCTCTAGCTCATGTCTGGCGTGAGTATAAAATAAGCTTTGAAGATAAATTTAACTTTTCTTTAATATTAAATAAATTAATCTTAATTTTGTTTTAATTAAATACCACCTAAATTTAGTAGCCCAAATTTTTCCTTTAGTCTCTTGCTTACAGTTGTAGATAATTGTTAATACAATTACCAGTTTGTGATTAAGTGCTCCCTACTGTATGCTTGCCTTGCTTTCACCTAGAATCTAGGGCCATTACTTTCTGTAACCATTTCAGTGAGCTGCCATAGTTTTCAGTCTGTACTGTCACCTGATCCAAGCATGCGCCAAAATATCCACTGTTTCTGGCTCCTGTATGCTGAATCTGCTTTGCAAACCCTTCGTTCTTTGAGCTTTTGCTTTAGCCAAAAACCAAATTTAGAAGTTTTCTGGAGTGTGGACATATGCCATTTGCTTCCTTAGCTCCCATGTTATGTAACTCTTTAGCTTTGTATTAAACTTGTAAATACTTTATTAAATACAGTAATGGCATCCCCATGTGCAATTGTGTGGCTCATGTGTTAAAATAAAGGCTGCTTGTGAATTTGTCAGAAGAATATGAATGCTCCACTTGCGCTGCATTCAGCTTTTTTGTTTGTTTGTTTTTTGAATCAGCCACTTATTCTTTCATAGTGTTTGGTTTAATTATTTGATTATTTTATGTGTTATACTAAGGTAAGTTTAATGTAAATGAACTTTGTATTCTCTGTGGTATCTCATAGGAATTGTTATAACATACCTTCCCATTTAGACATGCTGGCCTTTTAAAAATAAATATATGTAGAACTTAAGTAACTTCCTCCATTTTTCATTAATTTTTAAAACACTGTTTTTGGATTACTTTCTGTAAAATTCATTTTTAAAGCAGTAAAGCTACCATGTGTTACTTTACAGATGTAGGCAAACCTAATGTGAGAAAAATCTGTTCTTAAAAAATACATAATACATAGTTGTTTGATTTAGAAAATAATATTTTAAACTTCTAGAATGGTTTAAAAAGTAAGTAGTAGGTTGTATTAGTGAGTTTAAGAAAAGTTAGACTTTTTATTTCATGCAGTCTTTTGGGAAAATAGGTATTTTCTAAACTGAGATACATTTCTATAGTTATTTGTGATAACGATTTTCTCAGAATCTTAAATAATTTAATAGATTAGGGCAACCACTTGAATAATAGTTCATCTTACGATACAAAAATTCTCTTTTAGGAAAGGCTCATGTTAAATGGATGTTTTGATTGGTCCATAGTGTGTATGTCTTAGAAGAAAAAGCGAGTATGGATTTGGAGGTGTATTTTTGCTGTTAATACATACATTTCATTTAGGAATATGAAGAAATTCTTTAACACAAATGGTATTTGTGTAAAATAGGATCACGTAATTGTTCACACATTTCTTAATTTATAACATTGATTGCTAATACCATATTGTAGCCTTTCCTATTTCTCTTCTTCATTTTATCATGTACTTTGATCGTTTCCTCAGTTTCCTGAATTCTGCATTACTTTCTTTTCTTCTGAAAGAAAGTTTTAGGGTAGCACTGTCTTGGAACGAAAACTTTAATTCAAGAACTGGCTGGCATCATTTGTAGTTCTGGCTTTTATCTCCTTATTTCTTCCTTTTGCTGATCTTCCTCCCTGTGGAGGAAACAAAAATTTCATCATAGGAATGTGAGCTATAACACGCCTCTTAACCTTTCTTTACTTTGCTGTCTTCACTGTTTTACTAGTGAGTATAATTCTACTTATTCTACTAATTTTAAAAAACATATTTTGAAAATTGAATATATATTACAATTCAAAAATAGAAACTTTGTATTTCTTTGTTTTTAGATTTCTAATAGTGTCTCTTATGTGGAAAATTTACAATAAGAGCTTAGCATTCTAGTTAGAATTGATTTTTTTTTTTTTATCTCAGGTTGTTCCCAAATGAGAATTGGTCACAAAAAGAAATAAATCATGATATGCTAATTATAGACTGTTTCTGTTTTTAACATCATTGTACATAAAAAGTTACTATAATTTGCAGCTGCTGTCACCAGTAGTTTGCAGCTAAATGCAAGTGATTAGGAAAATATGTATGACAGATGTTCCATTTACAGTGCTCCATTACAAGCAATATTGGACTTCTCTTTGGTAATAAAATACAATTCTGTGATTCTAAATTATTTTTAAAAATTACAGACCAATACATGGAATGTTCTATCTGAAATTGTCCCTTATATACACGGACAAATTATTTATGTTAAGTTTTTAAGTGTATTTGCTTTCTTTTTTTTTTTTTTTGAATTAGTTTAGTCTATTTATTTCTTGTACTTTGCCTAAAGACCTACATCTCTGTAGAAGGATGGCTTGCAGATAGATTTCTCTTTTTAACATTGACAAATCTTTGCCTTGGAAATAATCCAGAATATAGCGAGTTATAAAAAGAAATAGGTACCAAGAAATGAAATCAGAATTAAAATTAAATTTATGGATATAACACATAAATTGTTCACTCAGTGAGGTGAGACATAGAATATTCTCTTAGTCTAATTCTTAAATTATAATCATAGTTAAGATTAGAATTTGGAAACTCTGGGTCTACATTTAAAATTATATCTAATCATACATTCCTATAGGTATCTCTTAAAGTAATAAAGCAAATGCAGATAGCTAGTTTGTTTTCCAGTCATTGAGTTTAAAATGTTAAATCTTAATGCCTTTTGAGAAGTAGCATTTTAAAGATGTGAAGTTAAAAAAATCCATTATAGGACAATACATCTTTACTTCCCATAATATGTTTATTTTAAACATTTCATGTTCATATAGGTAATGTGCTATTGAGTAATAAACTGATTTAAAATTTATTTTTCAGATGAACCAGAAACTCGAGATGCATGGTGGGCAGAAATCAGACAAGAAATAAAATCACATGCTAAAGCATTAGGCTGTCATGCTGTAGTGGGCTACAGTGAATCAACTAGCATCTGGTAAATGATAATAACAACTTGATTTTCTAGACACTGTAATTTAGATTGTCATCTGAAAGGGGAAAAGCTTTATGCAAATAAAAGAGAATAGCAAAGTGATCAGGAACATGGGCTTTAGAGTACATTAGATCAAGGTTCATATGCCGTCTTTGCCACTTAATGACTGAGTAACTTTGAGAAAGTTATTTAACTTTTCTGAGCCTCAATTTGTACATTAAAATGGAGATAATACCACAGATCAGTTAATCATTTAAATCAGTGATTAAATGAGAATATAATACTGGCACATAGCAAATATTAACTCTAAGCTTACTTTACTACAGTATGGATAACTGTATTAACTTTTTCCACCGGAACCTTTGGAATCCTTGATCTACTGTAAATAAATTGCCATGTTTCTTTAAAGTTTGTCCATAAACTAATTCTGTCTCCTTTCACCTACTGTAATGTAACTTTCTCCTGCTAACAAATCATTCTTCCTCACACTGACAAATTAGGAAGGGGCTTTCATACTCTTGGGTCTGTATAACTTTTTCTCCTTCCATTCATTTAAACAGTCCCTTCTCCTTTGAAGTGTGTGCCACTCTATTGTTTGATTAGCTACGTCCAAAGCATTCTTCCTGCCTTTCTTAGTTACTTCTCTGCTATCTCCTCCAGTTACATATGATTATGTTCATTCTAGCAGCTGGCATTATAGTTTCTTATTCTCAAGTCCTCTGATCCCATTTAACTTTCAACCATATTTTGGACCTGAGTATCTCTTGAAACTGTTCTGCTTTAAAATTTTGAAACTGTAAAATTTTACTCTCAAATCACAACTTAACTTTTTTCTGTCAATATCATTTGCTCTTTCATATCTAGTTTATTTTGAACCTTATCTTAACCAGTTGTTTTCTCAGCTCCTTACTTAGGTTCTGGCTTTTGTTCTTTTGCCATCTTTGAACCCTATTTTCAGCCCCTTCAAAAGTTTACAGTTGATATTATCTAGAAACTGTTTAACCTTCTGTGTCTTACTTGTCTACTCTCTATTCTTAGATATTCTTACTTTCAGATCCTCTGTGCTTGTGGTGATCCTTATTGTTAGGGAAAAATCATTAAACTGTAGTAAATATGGGCATCACAGAGCCATATTATTTAATCTTCTGTGGGCTTTTCTCTTCCTTTGCAGATCATGTGTTATACTCCTGGACTGTTTATTTCCATAGTAGCTGTTCTACTCTTGTTAACTGCTAACCTACTCCCTAGTTGTCTTCCCTCATTCATGGATTTAGTGTCATAAACTTTCAGGGCTTAGAGGGGTGTGTGTGTGTGTGTGTGTCTGTGTGTGTGTGTGTGTGTGTGTGTGGTGTGTGTGTGTGGTGTGTGTGTGTGTGGTGTGTGTGTGTGTGTGTGTGTGTGTGTGTGTGTGTGTGTTTCACCATGTTGGCCAGGCTGGTCTCGAACTCCTTACCACTCCTGAGGTGATCCGCCTGTCTCAGCCTCCCAAAGTGCTGGGATTATATAGGCGTGAGCCGCTGTGCCCAGCCAGAGATACAGTTTTAAAAGACATAGTTCTCGGTATATTTACATTCATTGGAGAATTATGATGTAAAATAATTTTTAAGATTGAGATATAGGATGCTTTGGTATCCTAGAAGGCTGAAAACTTGAAGTAGAATAGGAAGAAAGTGTCAGTGAAGTAACTGATGCTTAAATTGGATTTTGGGGAGTGAATATGAATTATATAAATAAAAAGAGGCATGAGGAGAGGTTTCAAAGCTTAATAGATGCATTAAATGCTTGAAAAAGTAGCAAAAAAAAGAAGGCCGCAGGATGTAGACTCAGGATGGCTGAAGATAGGTCACAGATGGAGGAGTCTCCAAATGAATTGAGTTAACTTACTTAGAAGTTTGAGTTCATCTGACAGAAGCTCTTCTTCCTTTCTAGACCTCAAAGAAATCTTTGTATTTAAAATTTTAATAATCTTTTCTGTTCCAACCCATGTTACTTTCTGTTACTGGATTAAACTCTCTGAAAAACACACTTCTGCTCTTGTAGCTTCCTGATTCGAAGGCCTCAGTGACATCCCTAGTTCCTACCTATGCTTTAAGACTTGTCTCCCTTTATTTATTTACAGTTCAAGTGACTGTTCCTTCCCTGTTCTCTTAGGCTTTTGTTTTATTTTTAGCTTGTTTTCAGCATTTCATCTCTAGGTTGCTACTTTTCTCATTTGTTTGGGTGATCTCATTCAATAATTATGTTGATTGTTTAATTTTTTAGCTTTCAAATTGGGTGACATATAATAAAGAATTTAAAAATTATTTTGAATATCAGTTTTCTATTATATGTTAATCTGGTTTAAACTTCATGTAGTATATTTTGTATATGGCAGAAAACTTTATAATTATTTAAATTTAGATAAAGCTATATGAATCACCTATAGAGATATTTACATAGTTATGCTTTTAGAATAATTTTAATAAAACAATATACATTTAAAGATAATTTTAATATAATAGATTAATGCTAGATTCAGCAATATAATTTATTACTGGTTATATTTTGAAACATATTCTTTCAGTCTTGCTATATTTTAAATGAAGTTATTATCTTTAATATTAATACTTTATCTCTTTTTCAATTTTTAATTTATGAGGAGTTCTTGCCCTCTCCATTCAAATAAAGTTACTTCTATTTTTTAGGCTAGGGTTAGGATGTTAATCTTATAAATATTATTTATTATTTAGTAGAGTCTAACTTGAACTTAAATTGTCACTGTTATAATAGTCATTTTGATATTTAGCATTTTCCAAAGTTACACTGTTTGAAAATGTTAACTTGCTTGTGTTTTTTCCTTTATAGTGAAGAGGTCTGCATTTTATCTGCATCTGGCACAGCAGCTGTATTGAATCCTAGATTTCTGCAGGATGGCACCGTGGAAGGCTGTTTGGAACAGAGGTTGTTGTGGCAGCGTGGCTTATTTTTCATAAGGGCAGAGAAGGGAGAGATTGACTTTTTTTCTCAGTTGGGATAATTCTGTAGTGTGGCTTACAGTAGTACAATGTAAAAATCAGGAGCAAGCACTTGACTCATTTTTAACTAACCCATAGTGACAGAGGAGTATTGGATTCTTCACTGTGTGGCACACATTATTATTTATTGTTCCTAGTATCTTGATAAGTGACATGTATGATTACCAATTGAAGAATTTCAAGTGTACTTTTTTTTTGTTTGTCATGATATAGAAATAATATCTCTTGATTTTTTTTCTTCCTTTCTTTTCTCTCTGCCTCACCTCCAAAAACAGAAAGAGGTTATGAAACAATTTTTATAAAAACAATTCTTAATTTACAAATTAATAAAAGTACTATATCTTGTCAAGATTATATATAGATATAATATATATGGTCCTTCCGTGTCTATAAGGAATTGGTTCCAGGACCTCTTGCAGATACCAAAATCTGCAGATGCTCAAGTCCCTTATATAAAATGGTGTATTTGCATGTAACCTATGCACATTCTCTCCTATACTTTAAATAATCTCTAGATTATTTATAATACCTGATATAATTCCTGTTCATCAGTTCATTTTCATGGATTCAGTGTAATGCTTAGCATGTGACAAATTCAAGCTTTGCTTTTTGGAACTTTGTGGGCTTTTTTGTTGTTTTTCTGAGTATTTCCAACCTATGGTTGGTTGAATTCACAGATGCCAACCCCATGGATATAGAAGGCAGACTATATGTTAGTTTGGTACCAGAGTCTACCTGGATAATACAGATTTTAATTACTCGTTATTCCACAGTGTGCATATTTACTTTTCTCCCCAGTATTAATATATTAAGTATGCATTAAGAAAGGAAGCAAGGCCAAGTGCAGTGGCTTACACCTGTAATTCCAGCACTTTGGGAGGCTGAGGCAGGTGGATCACTTGAGGTCTGGAGTTTAAGACCAGCCTGGCCAACATGGTGAAACCCCATCTTCACTAAAAATACGAAAATTAGCCTGGCCTGATGGCGGGTGCCTGTAATCCCAGCTACTCAGGAGGCTGAGGCAGGAAAATTGCTTGAGCCTGGGAGGTGGAGTTTGCAGTGTGCCAAGATGACACCACTGCTCTCTAACCTGGGCAACAGAGTGAGACTATCTTAGAAAAAAAAGGAAGCAAAAAACTGTGTCTTGTCAAATTTAATATAAATTTGCAAGCATTTATAGCTAAGATATTCTAGTTCTGGTATTCACAAGAGGAACTTGATCACTTTCTTTTGTCAGTATTATAATGGAAATTGACTATTATAAATTCCATAGCCTTAAAGATCATTGTAAATAGTAAAGTGAAGGTGGGGCATTTTGAAGCACACTAAATAATTAGAATGTTCTATTGAGGAAACTCTCTTTGGCAGTGAGTTGTACCAGTGATGCAATATAGTTCTTACATGTCTGTAGATTTCATTGTTGAGTTGATAGGAAGCCTAATTTAACAAATGACCTTTCCCATGTAGCTTGTTTTTTTTCTGTATTGTGGCTTAGATGGATACAGTACATTCTCTTTCTTATATGGTAGATATAAATAGCTGTCATGCCTAGTTGGAAAAAAAAAAAGGAAAATATCTTTTCTTTCTGCTATAAAATTACTATTGCTTATTAGAAAAAATTTGGAGAATGTAGGAGAGTAGAAGGAAGAAAAGATTTCTTATCTCACTATTCAGGGATAATCCCTGTGTATATTTCATATTCAAAATGCTTTCATAAATTTTAATACTATTATTTTTATGCCTTATGTATACCCCTAATGTTGAAATTTGTGTGAGCTGTTTAGTTAAAAATTGCTTCAGTTTTCATCCTTTTGTATCGCCTTATAACACATTGGTTTTGGATCCAAACAAACTGAAATTCAAACATGAGACCTGCTAGTTAGTGCTTAGTGTGACTTAGCAAGTTAGCTCAGGTTGGTTTCAGGCTAAGTGGAACTATTTGCCGCTGTATAGGGAACATTATACTGGGGAGGTGAGTGTGTTTAGCTATAGTTTTCTTATTTAATGTCCAAAGAAACCCACAAACTTCTGTAGGTACATTGTCAGTTTTATAAAGGAGGTTCTGAGAGGTTAAATATTTTACTTGTTCAGGTTCACACAGTTCCGTTCAGATGTCTGGCTTCTCTGTTAGTTCTAATATACCAGAATGCCATCTTCACAGTAAAATAATGGTATCTGGGAGTAATTTAATGTGATTTAAAGTGTAATGAAGATTCGGTTAAAAATCCTGTAATCCCACCTACTTGGGAGGCTGAAGCAGAAGGATCACTGGAGCCCAGGAGTTGAAGGCTGCAGTGAGCTATCATTGCACCACTGTACTCTAGACTGGGTAACAAAGTGAGACCCTATATCCAAAAAAAAAAAAGTTTATTGTCTTCCTGGTATATATAAGTTTTCCTTTCCCTTTAAAATTTTTCTGTTTGCCAGGTTTCAACTTCTAATGGGTTCCTTTAAGTTAGGGAGTATTGAAACTCACATCTTTCCAGAGCTCTGGAAGATATAGTTGTATGAAAGTATGGAGATTTTCACGGAGCTTCTCTCTTGTTTCCATCCTTATTGTCCTCAATGAAAAATGCTTTATCATTTTAGAATGAATTCACAAACAGCATAATACAACAAGCATTTTACAATGGTTGGGGAGGTTATGATTGTTTCATTTGTGGTTTATATATGATATGTATGCCATTTATGAAATAGATGTTTTGGTTTTTCAAAAATGTTAAAACTATCATAGGAAATTAGAAATCTTAGAGTATGCCCATTTTTGACTTACCGTTTTTCTTTTTTAATACTTTTTTACATTAAATTAAAAAATTAATACGTTTGATTAAATTTTTTTTTTAATTTTTTGGGGTACCTAGTAGTTGTATATGAAAGATTTGGTATAAGCGTGCAATGGATAATAATCATATCAAGCAGAATGTGGTATCCATCCCGTCAAGCATTTATTCTTTGTGTTACAAACAATCCAATTATACTCTTAGTAATTTTAAAATGTACAATTAAGCTATTTACTATAGTCACCCTATGGTGCTATCAAATGCTAGGTCTTATTCATTCTTTCTACTTTTTTTGTACCCATTAGCCATCTCCAGTATTCTTCAGCCCTCCACTACCCTTTCCAGCCTGTGGTAACCAAAATATTTTTTTCTTTTGGATATTTTTTTTTGTGGTTATATTTGTCAACCAGTGGGAAAATGTCATCATTATCATCTAACCATTTTTTAAAAAATGTTGTATCCCAGAGAAAAAACCCTGGGGTAGTGGTGTTTGTCAGGTGGTAAGTCATCAAGCAAATAGATTGGTGCAAAATAACTTTGCAATTGATAAGTCTTTTCTCTCACAGGCAAAATGTATGGTTCTGATTTCATGGTCATTTTTAATTCGTATCAGTCATAGTGGTGCTCTTGTAGCCTACAGTGGTAGAAGTTGGATAGTTTGTATACAAGTGCTGTGTATGTAATATCAGTTACAGAATTATTTTTGAAAAAATTTATACCTTTTTAAAGAATGTCTTATTTTTTTTCTTAATTTTTATAGGCTTGAAGAAAATTTGCCTACACGTTGTGGATTTTGCCATATACCATATGATGAACTCAATATGCCATTTCCAGCTCATCTCACATATTGCTATAACTGCAGGAAACAAAAAGTTCCTGATGTTCTGTTTACAACTATAGACCTCCCAACAGATGCAACAGTAATTGGAAAAGGTTGTCTTATTCAAGCAAGGTATGTTTGTGAAAACATTATTTGGTGTTCCTGCAAAAGTTTGAGATATGGAGCCATAAACCTATTTTCAGGTACCAGCTCTGCTGTTTCCTACCTGTTTGATCCTGAACAAACCGGGCAATTCTATTGGAGCTTTGTGTTTTATTGCATGTAAAAAAAAAAAAAAAAAAAAAAACCCTCTCTGTAAAACTCAAATAGGTTTGTATGCAAAAGCAGTTTTAACATTTATACAAATATATAGTATTATTATGGAAATTATTAACCTACTACAGGCTAGGTAGGTGACTAAGAGTAGACTGCTTCAATGACATTAAATATGTAACACGTTTTAGAAATCAAATCTTTCTTTCTTTTAAAGAATAGTGCCATGAAATGTTTCTTTTGCTATTTTAATTAGCTAGTAAGAGTTTCTTTTAAAATGCACCGTAGTAGGAAATTCTAACTGGGGCTGTCATGACAACAGCTGCCAGGTTACCAAATCCATCAGGTACTTCTGTCCTCATCGTCTGACATTTCAGCAATAGTGACACCATTGGTTATTTTCGCCTTGAAATTCCTTTGACTTCATGATGCCATGCCTTCTATGTTTTCCTACCTTTATGTATAATCTGCAGTCTCTTTCTTGACTTCTCATTTCTTGATCCTTGAGAGCCATGAGTTTGGACCCTCTTAAAGCTCTCTCCCTAGTTGAACTCATCAACTCATATAGATCTATATGCTGTCTGTGTCTGTGATTCCCAGATTTATAACGGTAGTCCAGAATTTTCTTCTGAGCTTCAGATTCATATACCTATTTACTTCATACCCCCATTGATATGTCATAGGCATCTCATACTTGTTCCACGTTGGACTGCTGATTGTCTACATTTATTAGCCTCTTCTGTTTTCATAAATGGTACCTTTATCCAGTTCTTCATGCCAAAGTTGATATTATTTGACACTATCCTCTTTCTCAACCTCCCACATCAAATTTATTACAAAGTCTGTTGATTTTTCTTCTAATATGTATTTCTAATCCATTTATTTTTTTCCCTCTTGCATCTTAGACCTTCCATTTGGGATTGTTTTCCTTTTGCCTTAAGGGTATGCTTTAGTATTGTTTTGTTTTGTTTGATGGGCCTGCTGGTGGGGAACTCTTTTGTCTGTCTGAAAAATGTGTTTATTTTACTTTTATCTTTAAAAAATACTTTGGACTGGGAGCTGTTTCTTTACAGCACATTAAAGATACTCTTTTAACACTGTCTTCTGGTTTTCATTTCTACTGTTGAGAAATAATCTATTAGTCTAATTACTGTCTCTTTGAATGTAGTCTATCAGGTACAGAGTAGATGCTCAAGTGACTTTTGTATTTTTTTAATGAGTAACATTTTTCTTCTGCTTTGCATTTATTTTGAACACATGCAGTTATAATACCTAAGATTTTAATTGATGTTGTCTAGTGATGTTGGTCATTATTTCATTTTTGGAGATTTGGAGATTTTTTTGTTTATTGAAATATGATTTTTTAAAATATTTAATGTTTGTGGGTAAACAGTAGGTGTATGTATTTATGGGGTACGTGAGATACTTTGATACAGGCATACAATGCATAATAATCACATCATGGAAGATGGGGTATCCATTCCCTCAAGCATTTATCCTTTGTGTTAGAAAAAATCCAGTTATACTTTTTTACTTATTTTAACTGGTACAATTAAAGTATTATTGACTGTGGACACCCTGTTGTACTATCAAATACTAGGTCTTATTCATTCTTTCTATTTTTTTGTACCCATTATGAAATATGATTTTTAGTGCAAGTTTATACAATGACAAAAAGCAGAAAAGATTATTGCTATAACTCAGTAAGTTCGTTAGAAGCAAGTAAATGTTTTATTCAGCACACCTTTAGAAAGTTTTCAAAATTGGAGATTTTTAAAAATGATACCAAGAATATGTTCACTGACTTATTTTCCTTTACAGGTTATGTCGCTTAAAAAAGAAAGCACAGGCAGAAGCAAATGCTACAGCTATCAGTAATCTCTTGCCATTTATGGAATATGAAGTGCATACTCAGCTAATGAATAAACTAAAACTCAAAGGAATGAATGCTTTGTTTGGACTAAGAATTCAGATCACAGTGGGTGAAAATATGTTGATGGGCTTAGCGGTAAGTTTAGATATTTTTGGTTTTGTTTTATGATTTTCTTAATTATAGTACACTCTATTTTATGTGATTCAAAGAGACTTTTCAAAGACTTACATAAAGAATTTGACATTAAGACCTTTGTGGGATGAGTAGATTTTAAGAAGTAAAAAATATGGTGATAAGTTTTCACATATTTTAAAGGGACTGTGATCTAACTTTAATAATTCTATTTCTAAAAATTATCATGTGTAGGTTGCTTAATAAGTTGGCCACAGTTTTTCTGGACTTCATTACTGTTTGCATATTGCTAAAACAGGGTTTCTCCATCTTGGTACTAGGGCAGGATACCTCTTTGTTGTAGGAAACTGTCTTGTAAATTGTATGATGCTTAGCAGCATCCATGGCAACTCCCCACTGTATGCTAGTAGCATCTCCCCAGTTGTGACAACCAAAAATGTCTTCAGAAATTGCCAAATGTCCCTTGATGGGCAGAGCATGTGCTATGCCACATGATGTGGACCATGTGCTAAAATAAGCTTTAGTTTTGATGGAAAAGATAAAGCAAAACATGTGAGACACTATTGGACAGACAATTAAGCTTTATCATAAATTGTGCACCTATGGCCAGTGGTAGAATGTGTAATAAAATACTGGTGTTTCTAGCCAGATGTGTTGGCTCACACGCATAATTCCAACACTTTGAGTGGCTGAGGTGGGAGGATCGCTTGAGCCCAGGCATTAGACCCGCCTGAGTGAGACCGCTGTCTCTATAAAAAATACTAAAAATGAGCCAGGTGTGGTGGCGAGAAGCTCAAGTGGTAGGATCACCTGAGTTCTGGTAGACTGAGGCTGCAGTGAGCCCTCATCATATCACTGCACTCCATGTGAGGTGACAGAGTGAGACCCTGTCTCAAAAAAAAAAAAAAAAAAGTGTGTTTCTTAAGTGCTGATGAAATATGAGAAAAGAGAAAGTTGTATCTCAGCTTAATATTCACCTTGGCTTGTTAGCAAGTAAGTTCTGACTGGAAAGATGTTAATGAGGAAAGTCAGTGCTGCTTCTATAAGTAGCGTAGGACTCAGAGAACCAGATGCCTGCAAAATGCACATTGATTATGTGGAATCTGATCCACCACATTTATGGAAATTCTCTCATTTTCTAGTTACTTTGCTAACCAGCATTTTGTTTGTGTTACTGGAAGTTTTCAAATTTGAATTCTCTTGCCATCTTTTTGAGAGATGCATAGACATTTAATTTTTTTTTTTTTTTGAGACGGAGTTTCGTTCATGTTACCCAGGCTGGAGTGCAATGGCGCGATCTTGGCTCACCGCAACCTCCGCCTCCTGGGTTCAGGCAATTCTCCTGCCTCAGCCTCCTGAGTAGCTGGGATTACAGGCACGCACTACCATGCCCAGCTAATTTTTTGTATTTTTAGTAGAGATGGGGTTTCACCGTGTTGACCAGGATGGTCTCGATCTCTTGACCTCGTGATCCACCTGCCTCGGCCTCCCAAAGTGCTGGGATTACAGGCTTGAGCCACCGTGCCCGGCCTCTGACATTTAATTTTTAAGAATTTATAGAATTTGACTTTTTTGTCTCAGTATACATTTATAGGTCAAATGCACATTTGTTTCCTACTTCATCTTTCTGTAAGAGCACATATGTAAAATTTTGTATCTAGAGGATAATTGTGTGATGATGATAAACTGATTAGTTATTACAGTTTTCTAACAATAGAAATTTGTAATAATTAAGTAACCCTGGTTCATATTAAAATATTTGATACTTAGTCTGAGCACAGTAACTTGTGCCTATAATCCCAGCACTTTGAGAGGCTGAGGTGGGCAGATTGCTCAAGCCCAGGAGTCTAAGACCACCAGCTTGGGCAACATGGTGAAACCCTCTCTACTAAAAATACAAAAATTACCCGGGTGTGGCAACATGTGCCTGTAGTCCCAGTGACTTGGGAGGCTGAGGTGGGAGAATCACTGAGCCTGGGAGCTTGAGGCTGCTGTGAGCTGTGACTGTGCCACTGCACTCCAGCCTGGGAGACAGAGCGAGACCCTGTCTCAAAAAAAAAAAAAAATTCTCTTTTATACTTAGAGTAACTTCGGGAAAAGTTCTTATTTTAATTCAGTGGTCTAAAATTTGCATGCTTAGTGAGGACATAACATAAATGTATAATTTATGCTTGATGCAAGACTGTAATGATTGATGGGTGCCTATGCATGTCAAGAGCTGGATTCAAGTTGAGGGGTTTAAAAAACATTCTGCTAGCTATACCAAACATTTTTGATGGTTGAGCTCCAGGAAACTAGTTTATGACACTGATATAATTCAAGACTTGCCCCAAATATTGCTTTCCTGATTCATACTAATATGTTCCTTCTTGATCACTAGTGCTGTTAATTACCACTGTTTGACATTTCATCTCTGTCCTTTGTTATAGTTTGTGCACCTAAATCCTAAGGCCTCAAGACTATCTTCTGTGTTAGGTAGTCTCAGATGAATGCTGACTTGGTGTCTGGCACTAAGATATTAGAGAAGGACTGTGATATTATCTTCACTTTACAGGAGGAGAAAATGTGTGCTGTGATAGGTTGAGACTGCAAAGTGATATGGTTACATGTGTTAGAACTGGATTTCAAATCCAGGCTTATCTGATTCCAGTGTCTGTGTTCTAAGCCATTCAGGGCTGTTGCCTCATTTATGAATGGAGCTAAAATCACATTAGAGATGTTGGACTAAGGCTTCATATGGCATGGAGAAGTGGAGGTTCCCTGGTTGAGTATTAGAGATTGGGTCATCTGTGCAGTGGTGAATACTAATACACAAACCAGGAGCAAGCATTCTCGAGGAACAATTTCATCTGCTATGCAGACTTCTTCATCAATCCCTTTTTAGGATTGATGTTTATAAAATTGGCAATGATTAATTTAAAAAATAATAACACTTCAAACAATTAAAAAATACACATATCTAGAGTTAAAAGAATTGTCTTTTCTCTTTCCCATTCTACCCCTTTGATGTTAACCATTTGATGTTTATACTTCTATTTTTTTGCTTTGCTTATATTAGCTTATTTACACAAAAGTGCACATAAGTATATATATAAATGTTATCTTGTTTTGTATTTTCCATAGTAATTTCCCAGTACTAGTGATATATAGTACTGTTTCAGAGTCAGATATTAATAGTAATTTAATTAGATGATATTTAAAATATGTATTAAGCAAAAAAACTTTTCTGCTAATTAGGAAGGTAGGGCAATATAGTGAAATGTGTTCAGGTTTTGGAATGAGAAACACTCTGTTCAAATCATTTGTCCACATTTATTGACTGGGCTTAAGTTCCCTGTCCTTTGTGAATTTCAGTTTCTTGCTTTGCAGATTTCCTCTTTACTTTTGCCACCTTTAAAGATATTGTGTCTGCTCATTCACAAAAAATTTATTTTTTAGCAACCTTTAATATTTTTTGCTATTTTAAATTCTAATTGTATTTTTTAAAATTGTGAGGTAGGTCCAGGCCCAGTGGCTCATGCCTGTAATCCCAGCATTTTGTGAGGCTGAGGTAGGCAGATCACTTGACGTCAGGAGTTTGATACCAGTCTGGCTGACATGGTGAAAACCCATTTCTGCTAAAAATACTAAAATTAGTTGAGTGTGGTGGTGGGTGCCTGTAATCCTAGCTACTCAGGAGGCTGAGGCAGAAGAATTGCTTGAACTTGGGAGGTGGAGGTTGCAGTGAGCTGAGATCACACCATGCACTCTAGCCTGGGTGACAGAATGAAACTGTCTCAAAAAAAAAAAAAAAATTGTGAGGTAGAATCATAAAAAATATAATTGGGTATGCTGTGAAAAGTAAATCCCCATTTCATAACTGTCTCCCACCTACCCAGGGTTCTCCCCAAAAGAAACCAGCCCTTGTTAACCAGTTGTTTTTGTGTGCCTTTCCAGATAAGTCTTGCATGTGAACTGATGCTGATTATATTTTTCCTAATGGGCAAAGACCACATTCTTGTTTTTGTTTTTTTCTTTTCTTTTTTTGAGACAGAGCCTCGCTCTATTGCCCAGGCTAGAGTGCAGTGGCATGATCTTGGCTCACTGCAACCTCTGCCTCCTGGGTTCAAGTGCTTCTCCTGCCTCAGCCTCATGAGTAGTGGGATTATAGGTATACACCATCACACAATACACTGTAATTTTAGTAGAGACGGGGTTTCACCATGTTGGCCAGGCTGGTCTCGAACTCCTAGCCTTAACTGATCTGCCTGCCGTGACCTCCCACAGTACTGAGATTGCAGATGTGAGCCATTGCGGCCAGCTGTTGACCACATTTTTAAATGTGAAAACTTAAGGACAGCTATCCTATAGATATTTTTTCTGATTATTTCTCTATTATTTTTACAAGTCTGCCACAGGTGTATATTTAGCAGCTTTACCAACTCCTGGTGGTATTCAGATTGCTGGGAAGACTCCTAATGATGGCTCATATGAACAGCACATCTCTCATATGCAGAAGAAGATAAATGATACAATTGCTAAAAACAAAGAGCTATATGAAATCAATCCTCCAGTAAGTAAAACAAACCTATATTGTGAATATATCAGTTATTGTTTATTAGTATATTTTTAAATTATTTAGGACACAGTATTTTTTTTCACTGTTTAGATTAGCTCTCCTTATTACTCATTGTTTCACCTCCCTTTATGTCTTTGCTCAACTGTCTCCTTTTAGGGTAAGCGTACTCTAACCACATCCTATTTAAAAATTATGACTTCATTTTTGGCTCTTCCTATCACCTTTCCCTCTTTTATTGTTTTCTATAGCTCATATTTATGTGTGTGTGTGTGTGTGTGTGTGTCATTGGTTTATTGCCTGTCAATACCAGTAGAATGACGCTCTGTGAAGGCTTTATTTCTGATGCCTAGAAAACTTCCTCTTGGTAGTAGTCTCTTAATAAGTATTTGTTGAATGATGAAATAAATGGTTTAAAATGTTCTTTGTTAGTAAAAAGAGATTCTTACTGTGATGAAAATGTGAAAGAATAGTTTTTCAGTTACTGTTTCTTATTTTACAATTCTCCTCCCAGTCATTTTCTTTAATCAATCTTTTTACCAACTTTGCAATAAGTATTACAGTGCTTCCTCCTCTGTGGATGCCTTCTGGCAATAGTCTGAATTGAAAGAAAAATGTGTTGGAGTTAGAATGAAACTATTTGTTTTTATGAGTCTCTGATAATGAAATACTTTCATGAAAAAAAGTATTTGAATAACATTATTATTATTGTTTTTATTACTTTAAATGTCTTATTTAATTTTGACTGGTCTTCTGGAACAGTGTGTCTGGATTGCTGCATCTCATGTATAGCTTTCATCATATTATTCTAGCATAGTTGTTAATTTGGGAGGAATTTTAAGTTTATGACCTAGAATTGCACTGTTCATTATTCCCTGTGGTAGCTACTGGCCACATGTGATTTTTGAGCAGTTGTGACTAGTCTGAATTGAGATGTGTAGTAAGTATAAAATATACACTGGATTTTAAAGATTTATTGTGAAAAAGTGTAAAATATAAATATTTTACACTATTAAAATATCAAAATAAAATGCACATCTCTTAGAATAACAATACTAGTGATGAAATTTCATTATGAATTTAGAACATATTAAATTCCAGACAGTTACATTTATTAAGTCTGTGGCATTGTGAACAAAGGCATAACAGAATTTAGTGTTAAAATTATAAAAGGTAATGTGGTATCTAGGGCGAATAACGTTGCACTGTGTGTCAAAAGACTGACCTAGACTGGCTCTACACTTTCTTATTTTCAAATATAGGCAGACTACTAATTTACTTCTGAATTTCAACTCTCTTCCATTTCGTAGTCATTATAATGTGTAACTTATCAACTTTATAGAGGGCAGATTAATTTGGAGTACAAATAAGATAAATGGATGTGAAAGTGGTCCGTAGATCATTACATTATGAAATTGTGCTGTGGTAGTCTTTTATTGAAGGTATGTACTAGCAATAAACATTTAAAACAATATGTTTTTGAAAAACTTTTATGAACAATTTCCTTGTTTATTAAAAAGATAACTCTGTTTCATCAGCAGTAATCTATGCCTTTTGCTTTTGCATTCACATATTCACATTCTTCCAGCATTCTTTGTGGCCAACAGATACTTAGGACCTCTAGTAATATTTGGCTGTGTAACAGCAAAAAGCTCATTGAGCCATACAGTATTGCACCATACACTGACCTTAAAAAGATCGTTATTATAACTACCAAAGTTTATTTAGCTTAATAAATTGAATAGCAAATACATGCATAGAGTATATGTATATATGTATTCATGCTCATACATTTATCATATCCCACATTTTGCCACGTGGAGCTTTGAAATATTACCAGTGGATAAGAAAAGATGTAAAAGATTAGAGCTCTTTCTAGGAACATATATCTTTAAATTTTTATGGTGTATTAGGACTTTCATAATACTGAATAGAAAATATGCATAGCCAGGAGTATTCCATACACATTGTATTGTCCTGTATATACACTAGATGTCAGTTTTATCTTGTGTCTGTGACAGTTATATATATTTTCTGATTTGTGTATCATTAAAGCTGCCATATCCTCTATAAAAGTTTAGTTATAAAGGTTATACTTAAGTACAGACTTCACTGAGTATATTTTACAGGCTTTTTCTCCACAAGTAGGTGTCTACTAATATAAAGATGTAAAATTTAAACTGGAAAAGACAATCTCATATAAAGCAATTATATTTCTTTTAGGAGATATCTGAAGAGATTATAGGATCACCCATACCAGAACCTAGGCAACGCTCAAGACTTCTAAGATCTCAATCAGAAAGCTCAGATGAAGTTACAGAATTAGACCTTTCACATGGGAAAAAAGATGCTTTTGTTTTGGAGGTAATGTTATATTGGACTAATTTCTTAAAGGTTTTGGAAGCTAACATAAACATTTTTTCATTCATGCTAAATTAATATACTTTTGTATTATTACAACTGTTATACATATTTTTAAAATTATTATATAAATTACAACAAACTTGAAAATAACAACTTGGTAACATGTTTGTTCAATACCAGGTGACTGAAAATAATGCAGATGGTTCTCAAAAAGTTACTGTGTGGATTGACATAATGGTAAAATAGTATTAAACCTTTGAAGTTATTTTTGTAAACTTGAATGAATTTAAATAAGAAATTAAAATGTCATTCTTTAACTTATTGTAATTATTACCTTTGTATGTTATGTTACTATAATTGTAACATTTTTGCATATGATCACTGTGAATTCTGAGTATAGTATTTTCTTACCAAATTCAAAAGATATAATTGATCTTCATAAAAAGATACTAAGAACACTTTAGTAACTTCCCCAGAAAGTAAATGTCTCACATGAAAAGTTTATGAAGACTCCTTCCTCACAGGCCTGCTTCCTCTGCACTCTCCTGTAGAATGGTTAGTTTCCAAAGAGATAGATTTTTCTTTTTCATATTTAAGGGAAAAATAAATGAGTAAGATGTCAGTTGAGAGAGAAAAAAATAGATGCTTTGATCTCAGTGTAGCAGGAAGCTGGTGGTAGCATTGTATTGGAATGGGATTGGAGGTTTAAAGAGTCAGGGACAGTGCCAGTGCCTGTACCAAGGGTCTATGAGAGACACACAAGGTCTAATCAAGGTGAGAGTGTCAATTTGTAGAAAACGCAACTTACATGGTTTTTTTTTGTCCCCGACTTTATTTCCCACATTTCTCTACAGCCTGAGAATGGAAAATATGTCAGGTCAAGGAGGGTAAAAGTTCCAGGGTACTTTTTAGAGCAATGCTATTCAAAGTATGATATGACTACTTGTGACATCAGTCAGCTCTACCTGGGAGCTTGTAAGAAATACAAATTCTTGGGCCCCTACCTCAGACCTAGTAAATGAGAATTTCAAGGTGGAGCCCAGGAATCTGTTTAACAAACTTTCCAGGTGATGTCAGACATTACCTGAAGTTTGATCCTAGGGCATTATTGATATTTCTGATCTTGGGATCCTTGCTAAGTAGAGAAGCATGTGATAACTAAGTGTTTCAAACATGGACAGAGGGCTAGTGGAAGATTCAATAAGAGAGGACAGAGAGACAGGACTGTAGTTAGAGAATGCTCGAGATCCTGGGTGTGGAGCGTTTTGGGGAATAATGGGTTGAGGTATGGCTGTGACTATGGGTAGCCATATGAAGTAGAGGTGAAAGTGGTTCTTGAAGTCCTGAGGGTGATGCGAGAAGAAGCTTAGCAAGGCTGCAGGTTAGGACTTAGAAACTGAGGTGCAGATGCATGTCAGTACATGTCCAGCTGGATATTTTCCCTATTTATTATTCACAGTGGAATACGGTAAGAAAAATAGAATTTAGACCTATTCATTTTATTAGAAAAATAGAATTTAGACCTATTCATTTTATTAGAAAAATAGAATTTAGACCTATTCATTTTATTAGAAAAATAGAATTTAGACCTATTATTAGATATGTCTTTAAATTTATCTAATTCCATAGTAAAGCAATTCTGCATTTAGTCAAAGGATTTGATTACACTTTATTAATTTAAACAAATTGGAATGATTGCTTATGATGTCTTTGTAAGTCTTTAGAAACATTCTTATAAAGGCTTGAGAAACAGCTAGTTTTTTTCTTTTAACTTAGTTTACTTTGTATGTAAAATATTTCACTTAGAAGTATTTGGTTATTACTGTGGAGGAATTTACTGATATTAAAATTTTTTTCTTGTTCTACATTTTTACTTAGGGAAAAATTAGTCTACTTTTTCTTGACTCTAATAAACAAACAGTTTTATTGTTTTGTTTTCTTTTGTTTTTCTTTGAGACAGAGTCTCGCTGTGTCGCCAGGCTGGAGCTCAGCTTACTGCAACCTCCGCCTCCTAGGTTCAAGCGAGTCTCCTGAGTAGCTGAGACTACAGGTGCCCGCCATCAGGCCAAGCTAATTTTTGTATTTTTAGTAGGGATGGGGTTTCACCGTGTTGGCCAGGATGGTCTTGATCTCTTGATCTCGTGATCCTCCTGCTTTGGCCTCCCAAAGTGCTGGGATGCACCCAGCCAACATTTTTTCAAAAATATGAAATGATTATGCATTCACTACTTATATAATAGTTTTAATCTCTTTATTTTAAGATCGATGACACAGATGCCATGGAAGATGTCCATTCTCTACTTACTGATGTTCCTCCTCCTTCAGGTGAACAAAAAAATTACCTTTGAGATGAAACTAGCTTTACATATAAATGTTTTAGCTCATATTTGTTACAGTACTAATTTTAATTTAAAGGAAGGACTTATCACAGTTTGTCATGTACTTGCTACTCCAAGGTAGAAAAACATAAGTTAAAAATATTTATCTTAGAACTATGGCAGAAGTGATTTTTAGTCCTTTTATATTTATACATGCAAAAGAAACCCTATGATAATTTATTGGATGGTTTAAAGTCTCCTGCAGGTATAGTTTTAGAAGAAAAAAAAGAAGGATTTTATAGTTAGAATTTCATGTAATAATGGAAAAATATCATTTAACAGAAAAATCAATGAAATATTATCATATATTTTGATTATAATTTATTTTGACAGGTTTTTATAGTTGTAATACAGAAATTATGCCCGGCATAAATAATTGGACATCTGAAATACAGGTAAACCTTTTTTTCTTAATTTTAAGCAAGTAACACATAAGTTATTTTAGTAAGTTCCATCTGTTTTCTTTTTGACCTCTTTATTGCAATTAAAATATCATCCTTATTCTACTGCATTAGTTAAATTGTTAATTATTTGGCAATTTATCAACTGTTCAAATATTTAGTTAAAAATAATAAAATGACATGTTATGTCACCCACATTTAGATGTTCACTTCAGTAAGAGTAATCAGATTAAGCAGCCTCAACTTGACTAATCAAGCTCTCAATAAGAACTTTAATGATCTCTGTGAAAATTTGCTCAAGGTAAGAACCTTCTGACTAAATTTTATTTCAAACATCTAAGATAATGAAATTTTAAAGGTGTCTATTTTCTGTATTATCTGTAATATCTTACACAGTTGTGGGCTGAATCATTCCTACCTACTTATCTTACCTCTGTCATCAAATGAGATAGTAAAGTTGTCCTCTCCCCCTTACTATATCATACTATAAAAGAAATATAATTTAAGTTAGTTAATAGCTTTAAATTTCATAAAAATCTAGTGTATATGTGTAAATTTTTAAAAACTTATTTTTTGTAACTTATTGACAAATGATTAAATCTTACTGTCTACTTAAATATTAAAAAATATATTCTTAATGTAAGAATACACAAAACAAAAGTGGACCTGTTTTGTTTTAATTTTTAACTCTCCATTTGCTATAATATTATGTACATTAAGAAAATCAGCTTTGTAAATTTTTAAATAAAAAAGTGACTTTACTAATATTTTCTATTGTGTAGAGCCTATATTTTAAACTACGATCTATGATCCCCTGCTGCCTTTGCCATGTAAATTTTACAGTATCTCTGCCTGAAGATGAATTAATTCAGGTAATTAAGATTTAGTCCATTATTAAAGAATAGTCTTTATCTGATCTGTTTTATTATTTTTATTATCTGTTTAATTATTATAATTTTGCCATAAATAACTTAAGCATATACTAGTTTACCCCACAATACTAAAGAATATGTTAGTATGTATTAGGCTATGTGTGTTTCTTTTTTCTGGATTTTAGTTATCCAAGGGGGTAAGCACACATATGCTCTGGCACATATACAGTAGGACCTGAACTCAATATGTGGGATTTCACTGGTTCCCATTTTTTAAGAGAAGGTTCTTGAGTTCTTTCCGGAATACTTAGATTTAGGTATACCTGTTTGGCATAGTCGTAATTTGTGTATCTGAATTTATAGTTAATTCTGGTTGAGGATTTTAACCAGAAAAGGCATTTGGTATAGGTTGTTGCATGGTACTGAAAAAAATATGTAAGAAACTTAGTTTTGGCAGTGATTATTCTGCTAACCATATTGTTTCTGTAATTCTAGGTTACAGTCACAGCAGTCGCAATAACTTTTGACAAAAATCAGGCTTTACAAACCACCAAAACACATGTTGAAAAATCATTGCAAAGAGGTAAACCTTTAATGGATAGGAGGTTCAGTTTGTGTTTCTCTGTGTTATGGTTCAGTGATAAAATATAGAGGACAAGTGAATTCAATAAATGTCTTGTTTCTTGGAGAATATTTGCTGCTTTTTCTGTTGATCTTTATTGAGATAACTATGTGGATAAGCATATGGCTGACTTGATTTTTTTCACACACAACTAGGTGGTATTTGACTGGTATTTACATAGGGAATGCTGCAGGTTATTTAGACTTAAGTTATAACATATTAATTCTGCAGTAATATAGGGGTTTCTACACTAAGATCTCTAGCAAGGTCTTCAAGGCAAAATTGTGTGCCTATGTATTGTTCTCAGGACAAGTTCCATAGTGTTCAACAGATTCACAAAGGTGGCCTTAATCCAGTAAAATTTAGGAAGTACTATTCTTAATAAATTCTGAAGAAATTCAGATTATTGGAAACTATGTGTTCTGAAAAACACATAAGGAGGGATACTGTACTTTCTTGTATTTAAATGACATACTGGCTAAATGAAGTATAGGCAATCTTACTAACCTTGAGGTGAAAATTTATCCTTCATTCCCTCATGATACATTTCTTAATATTCCTAAAGGAGAGAAATTAATGTTCCTTTTATTTTAACTTCTCAAGTAATTTCATTATAAGTTATTAAGGTAATTTTTTCTGTGATATTCCATGATTAGTCCTAAACTTTCAAAAGTTGATTGCTTTCTACATGTATGGCGTTGATAAGATTTGAGCAGTGAGTTAATGACAGGTAGATACATTAAATGATTATGTTTTCAGATATTTATCAAAGAAGTCATGTAACTGGCTTAAGTATTATAAAAACTAGTAATGGACAAAGTGTAGAATATTAATTATTATCTAACATTTATTATTTGTAAAGCACTGTACTAAGTGGTTTGCCAGTATTAATCTCCTAAAGTCTCACAAGAGTCATACCAGGGAAGATAGCACCACTCACAGCATCATGTAGATGGAAGGTTTCCGTAGGAGAAATCAAGAAGAAAATAACCACAATAAATTGGGGTGGGGAGATGGAGCTGAGAATATGTATATGTATGTTGTCACAGATTCTTAATTTTAAAAAATTAATAATCATTACCAAATAACTTATTTTTCTTGCCTTTCTAGCCTCTACAGATAATGAAGAACTTTTACAATTTCCACTGGAACTGTGTTCAGATTCACTTCCTTCACATCCTTTACCACCAGCTAAAGGTTGGTTAAGTAAGGGAAAAAGCAAACACAAATCCTAGTTTCTAGTTCCTTTCACTTGATTCTTCATTATAGGCAATCTTACTAACCTTGAGGTGACAATGTATCTTTCATTCCCTCATTATATGTTTCTTCATATTCATGAAGGGGAGAAATTAATGTTCCTCTTATTTTAATTTCTCAATAGTTTCATTTTAAGTTATTCAGGGAATTTTTCTTACGATATTCCATTTTCATACCTTAATGTATTAAAGCTTTATTTTCAAAGATTTGGATTTCGCAAGTAACCATTTATACATAAAACACTTGATATTTATATTATATTTGGTAAGTTGTTTTCTAGCAACAATTAAACATTCACAAAAATTTTTCAATTTTCATGGACAACAGAATGCTTTTTTTTTTCCAGAAGATATGTGAAGAGGTTTTGAGTGGGAGTAGTACAAGTGAGAAAGGGATGAGCTTCCTGTCTTTGCTGTGGTGATAATTGAAGAACATTGTTATGTACTTATATAAGACACTGCCATTTTTTTCCCAGAGCAAATTGATAGCTCCTTAATTTAATAGCAATAAATCTATTTTGATCTGCATAATCTTTGGAGAAAAGTGAGAGGTATTGTTTTTCATTTCTCATCTGATTTTAGTATAATTTTTATTACAAAAATTTTTAAATTACTATTTTTTATTTTGTAGCATTATGTATTAGATGTGTTTTTCATGAAATTTGAGAAATGATACAGTTATTTGAAATCAGCTATTCTAAATTTTATGTCTTATAATTGATATTTTTTTATTCCGACTTGTTATTTGATATCAAATTATGTATAATACAGAATAGTTTTATATTCACTTTGCATATATGTCAATAGAATCTTTATTAAATCAGTACAAGATCTGTTTATATAGATAAACAGATCTTGTCTCATATTTTGAAGATGAAAAATAAGCTGCTTCCAGATTCTGAACTTTGTAATCTGGTAACTTTGGTCCTTTTTCCTTTTTGTCATCACCTAAAATTCTGATTTAGAACTGTATAGAGAATTGTATCATATCTCAATGTCCTTGAAAGAACAGAGAGGAAAAATCAAGTTCAAAGGTAATGTGAGTTCAGATTTATGAATTAAATACAGCTTCCAGACAGAAAGCAGAACTGTCAAGAGTCTTCCTTAGGCCAAGCCCGTTGGCTCAAATCTGTAATCCCAGCACTTTGAGAGGTTGAGGCTAGAAGATCGCTTGAATCTAGGAGCTTAAGACCAGCCTGGGCAATATAGAGAGACCCCTACTCTACAAAAAATAAATAATTAGTTGCATGTGGTGGTGTGCACCTGGATCCCAGCAACTTGGGAGACTGAGGTGGGGGACTGCTTGATCCCAGGAGGTTAAGGTTGCAGTGAGCTGTGATTGTGCCACTGTACTCCGGCCTGGGCGATAGGGAGAGACCCTCTCTTAAAAAGAAGAAAAAAGTCTTCCTTGGACTCACTATACAGCAAATTTTTTTTTTTTCCTTTAACATTTAACATCTACTTTATACTGAAACTTGTATTTATTCAGGATTAGTTCCTAATCACTTCTAGGTATAATTTCATTTATCCTTATTCTGCATTAGGGGCCCCAAAAAAAACCCCTAAAACCTAATCAACAAAGGTTTGATTGATTGCTGATCTGTAGGAATAGATATTTGTGGACCTGGGGTCCCTATTAGCTCTGTTTTGCTATGTAGTTAATACCTACCGAATTCTGCAGAAGATCAGATTTAAACTCTTAAGTTTGCCTTGTCTGTAAGGACAACTTTTCACTTCTGCAGTAGCTTTCAAAATGTTTTCAAAGGAATTAAAACTGGTGCTGATGCAAATATTAGCATATGGTATGCAAAATGATACTTTGTGGACTAAAAACGAAGAAAATAAGAATTTGAGTAGAGTAAGTCCTATTGGAACCGTACCTAAAATATTTGCAACTCATTTAAGGGAGTATAGAGAGGGACCATGAGGTAGGGTGAAAAAGCAACTAACCTGGATTCTTTCCTCAATTCTGCTACTGATTAGGTGTGAGAACTTGAAGGGCCAATTGTGTAACCTTTTTGAGCCTCAGTTCCTCATGTGTAAAATGTGAAAAGATTAAGATTCTCTCTAATCTCTAAAATTCCTTGGGTTTCTGTAGTTTATGGTTCTTCAATTATTAACATACTTACATTTTCAAAAAGTAAATCAAAAGCTAAATTAGTCCCCAAGGTCACACCAAGCTTGTGTATTTAAGTGTGTTCACTTGGGCGCAGTGGCTCCTACTTGTAGTCCCAGCACTTTGGGAGGCTGAAGCAGGTGGATTGCTTGAACCTAGCAGTTTCTTCTCTACAAAAAATAGAAAAATTATCCAGGCATGGTAATGTGCCTGTGGTCCCAGCTACTCAGGAAGCTGGGGTAGTAAAATCACCTGAGCCTGGGGAGGTTGAGGCTGCAGTGAGCTCTGATCATGCCACTGCACTCTAGCATGGGCGACAGAGTGACCCTGTCTCAAAAAATTATTTCAAATAACTTTTAACCAATTAAATCAATAATTTTAATTTTAAATTCTGCTCCTCCGAACCATGAGATACCATGTCAGAGGTATCTCATGACCTTCCAGGAGGCAGGGTGAAACAGAACAAAGAAGGACAGGAGTGAATAGCGAAGGTCCCTGGATCCCCTACTTTTTTGAAACAAAGCAGCTTTGATTCCATGTGTTTTTTTAGATGGAGTCTTGCTCTGTCACCAGGCTGGAGTGCAGTGGCGTGATCTTGGCTCACTGCAACCTCTGCCTCCCAGGTTCAGGTGATTCCCCTGCCTCAGCCTCCCAAGTAGCTAGGATTACAGGCAGGTGCCCCTACGCCCAGCTAATGCTTTGTATTTTAGTAGAGATGGGGTTTCACTATGTTGGCCAGGATGGCCAGACAGACCTTGTGATCTGTCTGTCTCGGCCTCCCAAAGTGCTGGGATTACAGGGGTGAGCCACCACATCTAGCCAATTCCATGTGTTTTTACATATCCATCTTCTGTATGTGATTTCACTTGAAGAAAGGGGTCTCAAAAAGTTTGAAAACCATTGATTCAGATCATGCCACCCTTTGTTGTCATCATCATCTTCATCAGACCATCACATCCAATATGAATATATGTAAAACTTTCTATACTAAGTGCTTAACTGTAAAACCTATGTGCTTTTCCCTGAATATTGCATTATAAGATCATCAGTAAACACTTAAAACTGTATCTGTACCTTTCTGTAAATATTTCTGTAGTTTGTAAATTGTGGTTTACGTTGCATGCTTATTTATTGTCTTGTGTTTCCGCAAGTCTTTTCAGGAGGACATGGGCTAAATACAGTTTTTAAAGTTATCTCAAAATACTTTGGAAAATTTGAGGGTAAGATAGGTTTTGAAAAGGCCTGAAAAATATAACAGAGTCTTATAACATAAATGGAGTAATCGAATGTTGTAACATGACAGAAGGCAATGTTTTGAAAAATTAAGCATAGCAATTTAGTGGAAATAGGAAGAGAGGAAGTAGAGTGTTAGGGATAAATGCTCAGAAGACTTGTCTGATTTTTAAAATATGCAACCACAAAAGGCTTAAAAGTCAACTACTGATACTGATAAATAATAGTTTTTAAATCATTTTGTTAAGTTAGATATGGTGATAGGTTTTTTTTTTTTTACTTTCAGTAACTTTGAATTCCAGTTTATATTTCATGTTTTTAATCACAAATAGGATGATTGTTAAAATTTTTTATTTCCTTTTATATTGGGGGAGTAGTTTCAAGAGCCAAGCATAGTATGTTTATTAATACTTCCATCTTTTTACTTGTAGATAAACCTTTCATTATCTTTTTGTGTTATTGAAAATGGGTGGATGTCATGTAAAGAAACGTTACTTCAGTAACATGTATCTTAATTCACTGTGTAGAGTAAGCCTGGGTCTGAACTGTCCATCCATGTTCAATTTTTTCCTTCCATCATTTGTTATATTTGGTTTTGTTTTTAAAAGTAACAAAGTAGTTTGATGTGTGTCTCAAATTTATGGTTGATTTGGTGTTACCTTGCTGGTTATCTTGATTTTTCTGATTTGATATATTAACTATTGCTGAGATTAAATAATTTATTAAAGGATAGATGATATGGTATCAACATGAATTACTTATGTTTATACAAGAGTGTGTTATGAGAAAAATGATAGCTATAGCAAATTTTAATAAAATGTTTGTTTTTTTCTCCTTATTGATATCCAAACGAGTTTTTCTATGAAATTATTTTTAATAGGCTTTAAAAATAATGTGTATATATATATTTCTATATATATATAAAAGAAAGAACAAAATGGAGGGGGAGTTGGTGGAGGTATCTGGGAGAAGAGTAAAAAAAAATCAGCAAGATTTTTTTCATAGACTTCAGTTTATCTCAAGAATTTTATACATGTAATTTTTATAAAAAGTTAGCGTATTACTTTAGAGAAACATTTAAAGGCTTATATCTTGAGCTATTGGTTGCTGTATTGTAAGGCTTAAGAACTTAGATTAGACAAATGTGTATAAATCATGTACCACTTTAAATATATTTTAAATTCTTAAAAAATATTAGCTAAGGTAGGATAATAGTTTTCATTAGAACACTGATCCTTTAAAGCTTTAAAAGGGTTTAATTAGATCAACTTTAGTTTTAAATATTGGTGAGTAAAACTGTATAGAAGACATTTTTTTTTTTAATACCCACCTTGTTTCTTGTTTTGCTTTACTAGAGTACTTTCCTCATGTTCGGTGGCATAAGCTATAGGCTGGCAGGAATATTCTATTTATTACATTAGCTGCTGACTGCTGTGGCAAGTAGTGGTTAAAATCTGAAATTCGATATTAAAGAAAACAAGTTGGCTTGTACCCATAATACACTGTACTTCAAAATTAGGTGTCTACATTAGAAGTTTTTTATTGGAGGCTAGAAGAGTTATTTTTTCTTTTGTTAAGCCAAATCACTTTTTTCTTTTTAGAGACAGTCTCACTTCTAGATTATAGTTTGTTTCAATTTAATGTCTTGCTAACACTGTTTTAAGCTAGCAATTAGAAGTGTACATTTGTTAAAAAAAAAAAAGTGTACATTTGTAGAAAATACAGAAGTTAGCTTTTACTTTTCCTGCCAACTAATGGTTTGAATTCTTATGACTATATATAATTCCTTATACTAATTAAAAGCATTTTTATATATTGATAGTACCTTGCACCTCTGTTGTTTCTATTTTTTTTTAAAGCATGTTTTTTCACTATGACCAAGTGGCAGCAACAATAAAAAACTGCTGAAATTCTCCATGTTTTTGGATAGCCAAATACTAAATGGCTAGTTTTAAAAGGAAAGAGATGCTTAGGGGAAGAGAATACAAAAAATAGAAACTAATTAGAGGAAAATGTGTGAAAAACTCATCCAAGAAATGGGAAGGAAGGAAAGAAGGCAAGAGAATTGATGGAGAAGTAGGAATAAAAAATCTTTATCTCTGTAGCTTCTTCAAGGCAGCTTGAGGTCAGTGAAATCCACAGTTAGAAGAGGGAGTAAAAAGCAAAGAAAATTGAATTGAGTTACTGACAGAAAACAGATTATTTGGAATAAAAGCTATAAAAAGATAGGAGTGAGAGGGGGATTGCATACTTGGAAATGGAAGCAGGAAAATCTAAGAAGGGGACTGAAGCAGAAAGACAAGTGGTTTAAAATGTTGTACACCTTTAATTAGAAACTTAAATGACCCAAATAAGAAAGTTAATTGTCTTTGAAATCTAATGTATGTACTATCTAGGTATCACAGTTGAATTTTTCCTTTGCAAACTGTCCAAACTGAAGCTAGTTCTGTCTTTCTTTGTGCCTTAGTAATTTACAAGTGTAATATGGCAGTTTCCTCATCAATTCATTGATATTTGAGAATCATCATAGATCAGGTTTTTACTGAATGTTAGAGATATAATTTGTCTACCTCAGTCATTAAGTTAGATTTTGTAGTTATAGGACATAACTAATCAATGCGTTATTCATTGATGGAAATTCCTAAAGAAACATAAAACCCAGTTTTGATCATAATAAAACTGAAAATGTTTAAATAGGAAAATAAAACATAAATTATAATGATTCCCAATTGCATATATTTTAACCTACCAGAGAATCATTTCCAAATTTGTAGGATTTCTTTTTAGTTTTAGTAATATTTAGAAGACAGATAATATTTTCTCAAATATTCTTTAATTTTCTAGAGCAAAGGTGATCGGTAAATCCTAATGATATAAAGTGAATAGTCAAAAGATGTACTGATCAGTGTAGAAATTTATTACTGTAATTGTCTTAGTTTCTTTGGTACTACTGTGACAAAACACTTGAGACTGTGCAGTTTATAAAGAAAAGACATTTATTGGCTGTCAGTTCTGGAGGATGGAAGTCCCGTATCAATGTACCAGCATCTGGCCGGGGCCTTCTTGCTGTGTTATAACAGGGCAGAAGGGCAAAAAGAGAGGAAAAGGATGTCAAATCCCCCCTTTTCTAATGGCATCAATCCCACCCATGAGGGTGGAGACCTGTCCTAATCAGGCCTTAAATGTCTTACCCTTTTTTTTTTCTTTTTTTGAGACAGTCTCCCTCTGTTGTCAAGGCTGAAGTGCAGTGGCGCGATCTCCTCACTGCAACCTCCACCTCCCAGGTTCAAGCCATTCTCCTGCTTCAGCCTCCCTAGTAGCTGGGATTACAGGCCCCTGCCCCCATGCCTAGTTAATTTGTTTTGTATTTTTAGTAGGGATGGGGTTTCACCATATTGGCCAGGCTGGTCTCGAACTCCTGACCTCAAGTGATTTGCCTGCCTTGGCCTCCCAAAGTACTGGGATTACAGGCGTGAGCCACCGTGCCTGGCCTTTTCCCCCCCCCCCCCCCCACCTTTTTCTTTTTTTGAGACAGGGTTTTACTCTGTCCCCCAGGCTGGAGTGTAGTGCTGTGATCTTGGCTCACTGTAGTCTTCACCTCCTGGGCTCAAGTGATCCTCCTACCTCAGCCTCTTTAGTAGCTGGGACCACCAGCACCCCCATGCCTGGCTAATTTTTGTATTTTTTTGTAGTGATGGGGTTTCATCATGTTGCCCAGGCTGGTCTCGAGCTTCTGGGCTCAACCGACCCCACCTAGGTTTCCCAAAGTGCTTGGATTAGAGGCACAAGCTACTGCCCCTGGCCGGAATGGCCTACTTTTTAATACTGTTAAAATTGCAGTTAAATTTCAACAAGTTTTAGAGGGGATGTTCATTCAAATAATAGCAGCAGCTAACAAATACCTTTGTCATTGGTTATGAGGAGTTATTTAGAAGAATGGAAAAGTCTCAGACTTTAGATGTACTGGAGAATGTCTGAGGGAGGAATAATCCTTTTTGTCATTATGCTCATTTCCACTAAACTGCTTTTAACCTGGGTTAGTTTCCCTCCCACACCACTAGACATAGGACTTGTTAAATACTGCTAGAGTGCACTAGGGGAATAATAAAACCATAGTCCTGTTTTGCTTTGCTAGGGTTGTTTATTTGGGACTTGTGAGGTTATCACTTAATAGTGACTTCTTAAAAATGCAAAATAATCTTCTTTTATTAGATGGGAAACCACATTATAAGTAGACTGTTGTGTGGCTTGAAACTCTGTTTGCAGCTAGAAGGGGGATCTAATATAAGAAGCATTTGTTTCAAACTCTTCCGTATAGATCTACAAATGGCACACAACTGAGCACAACTCAACAAAGCCTGAAAGACTTTTGAGGAGATTTCTACCCTTGAATAGTGAAATCTGATGTTTTAAATTTAGTATTAGCCTAGAGACTGCATGTTGTTTTATTTCTTTTAAACCAGAACTCCCGGTTCGTCAGTGAGCCAGACTGCATATATCTTCAGTACCTTCTCTTTTGAAAAGTCTATCACCTGGGAAACCAAACTGATCAGGAGGAGCAGAGGGTCTGGAAGTGTGAGGTCATCAGACATTTGAGGTATTCAGACCAGTCCAAGGTGCTGATGTCTATCTGCTGCTGGGACCAGCTGGCCTTGGACCTCTTCAGCCTTTTTTTCTGGGAGAAATATTAAGATAGCAAGCATGTTAAAAGATGAACCTATTCTCCCTAAGTGAAATCAAAATCTTCTTCCTTAAACACTTTGGTTTTTCAGATTTTTATTCAGATGCATTTATATTTGAGGGCAGGGAATAAATATTTTCCCTCTCTTTTTTCCCTCTTCACCCCTTACAAATTTTAGGGGATAAAAGTAATAAACATATATAGTGAAAAATTCAAATACTACAAAAATCACATAGTTCAGAATAAAGCTCCCTTCTCCATTTCCTTCCCCAAGAGGCAGCTACTTTGAACAGTTTACCATCTGTCTTTCAAAGACACTCTATTCATCATTTTTATAAAAAAGTATTTTGCATATCATTGTGCCTTGTTTTTTCCACTCAGTATCAGAGATGAGAACAGATACTAAAAATACATACTAAGTAAATACATACATATATTTAAACTGACCAACCCAAATGATTCTCAGTGGTTTTCATGAGTTATTTCTAAATTGGCAACACTATTCTTTTAGTTGTAAAATTCTTTGAAACAAAAATTTAAATATTCTAATGTGGATAGAATATGAGCATGAAAATAGATTGTGAAGTTTTTTTATAGTGCTATTTAAATTTGTACAGTACCTAAATACCTGTAACAAAAAATATCAGGGAAAATTCTGGATGCTGCTGTTGTGAGGTTACTGGAAAGGGAGTGATGCTGGCATGGGATTCCTAGTTATCTCTGTGATCACTCTTAGTTCCACAAAGTCTTGATACCACCAGAGGGAGCTGTTGATACTGAAGTCCTCAAATGAAGGAGTTGGTGGTGAGGAGAGTTAAGACTAGGGAGCAGCTTATGCTGATCTGTGAAGCATAATAATTATCTTGTCTGTAATTTTTAATTTTATAGGCTCTTCCCCACAGCAGACATTTCCCTTCCATGTTCCATTTCAGGTATTCTTCCCAACACATTAACACTTTTCGCTACCCAGCCTCACATCCTGCTTCCATCATACTCACATTTGTTACTGTGTTTATATTTTCTTGTGACTATAAAGTTTCTGAAACTCTTTTTGTGTTATAGTAAGCAAGCAGCCTTCTTTGGCATGGTATTCATGAACTGAGCTAGTTTTCATGTATCAATAGAAACTGCATTTTAAACCTAAATACTTCTATTTGGTTTGCTTTTGCAATGAAGCCATAAAGATTTCCTTCTATTCTTCTGGCTTATAGAAGATATTAACAAATAACAAAGAAGAGGTACTGGCTTGTACTTAGCATCTGAGCTAATGTTGTTCATATTGTCTTATTAGAACACCTGGAGAGTGCAAGTTCTAACTCAGGTATACCAGCTGCACAGAGAGGTGAGTTTGTCTAATTAAGCAAATAGTCACCAAAGGTGTAAAATTCTAGTTTGGTGGTGCATAAAATTATAGATGTCAAAGAAATGCACTGGGCGATATGGAATAGATGCCAAAATCTGACTTTTTTTTAGGTAGAATATGTTCTTTTAAAAAACATCAATTAAACTAATATTTAAAATTTTAGTATGTTAATGGTTTCCCAGTTTCTAAGCATAAAATTTTAGCTCTTTAAAATTTGTTTTCCAGCTTAGCAGTACTAAAAGTTATTCTTTTTAAAAGGGGAACTTGTGAGGCTCACACCTACCCCAACCCCATGTTATCAGAGGCTTTGTTGCCCAAAATCACACATGGAAGCAAAACATTAACAAAAATGACCCTTTGGTTTTCCTGTTACTGATGGTAGAAAGAAGATATTTTAGTAACAGATAAATCGGCCAGTGACTTTTTAAAATGTATTATTCAACTTTGATTCTCTCTCTTTTTTAAAAAAATTAGGGTAAAACTAAGGAAAGGAATGATTCACAAAGTTTTGTTTATAAAGTTCTAAAATAGAAACAATGGAAATATTGTAAATTAAAAAGAATGGGAAATAACGTTAGTTAAAGCACAATGTGTGGTCCTTTCATAGATATTTATGTTAGACCCCACTCAGGCTCTCCCTAAGAGGCTTCATAACTACGACATCACCAAAAATGCTCAGCCTGCTAACTAAGAACTTGATTTTGGACAAATCAGTGTCTAAAGCTTGACTCTTTACTATCTCTCTTATCTGACTTGAAAAGGACCATTCTTTTTCTGAGTTACAGTTAAATTACATCATCGAAAGGAGTGTTAAGACGAGTAAGAGACATCATCCATATTTTTTTCTTTGTTTTTTTCTTTTGTTTTCTGTCTGTGTTTTCAGCAACGTCAGTTGATTACAGTTCCTTTGCAGACAGATGCAGCAGCTGGATAGAGCTCATTAAACTGAAAGCTCAGACCATAAGGCGTGGATCAATTAAGACAAGTAGGCGGATGTTTCTACCACATTATGATAATCTGAGAAACATATCCCTGATTTCCCAGTGGTGAAAGCTAGACCTTACTACCCAGTAATAACATTGCCAATGTGTCATGTATTAGAGTGTGAAAGCTGCAGACTCTAATGGTCATTTAGACAAAGTTATTGAGAGGCCTTTAGATTTATTAATTTTACCTATAGAATTGTGTTTTTAAAATTTTCCTTTTTGTGCAGGTATTATTAAAAGTATATAAATAGATATTATATCATTGTAGTTGTAAGGAAATTACCAACTCTCTTATTGAAGAGACATGCTTCCAGGACCCAAGGTACTATTTAATATGTAGCATCTGTTGGTTTATTAAGTGCAATATGGAGAGGGCTAAACGAATAAAGAATTTCTGGAGAGAAGGTAGTTACCTCTTACCTTACTGCTAGGATCAGAATCATTACCTATATGCTATCTATATCCCATGTGCTTTGGTAAATTTTGAGGTCAGTATATTTGAGTGAAAGAGCTTACCATATATTAAAAGAGGAAAAAACTACATTTCAGGGGAAAGAATATAGGATGTGAAACCCAGACAGATCTGGTTCTGAATCTTAGAAGTGCTACTTTAGTAGCTATGAGACCTTGGGCAAGTTAAGTAACTTCTCTAATCTTCCATTTCCTCATGCATGAAATGGAGATGATGATAACCTAGTTGCTGGGTTGTTGTAAGGATTATATGTATATATCTGGCTTAACGGCAGTTATTTAGTAAGTGGTAGCTATTCTTTTTTTTTTTTTTACTTTATAAACAACTTTTAACTAGCAAAGGTCATTATGTTAAGCTTTTAAAATTATGAGTTGGTTTATCGAAAAGGTTTGGAAAACAAATACCTTACAATTAGTTAATACAAGGTTTATCTACAAGTTGACAATGATGAAGTCGTCTGAAAAAGATGGAAAAATTGCACTGGGAAATATAACAACTTTCACACTCTCCTTGTAATCATTTGTTCCTACAGCAGATAATTTTAATGCTCTGCCGCTTTTTCTTTTTCTTCACTTTATAACCAATCATTGTGTGTGTAGCTATACTGCATCAACATTTTCTTTTGCAGGAATGCCATTTTTCTTCCAAAAGAATTCCATTCCAGTATTTCCTCTCATGTTTTCTGTCTCTCTTTTTTAATTGCATGCAGTGCATGATAATTTCTTTCATGACATGGCTTAGCCTCACAGACAGCTGAATGTTGTCATCACTTATTTGGAAACCTCAGGGAATAATTGTGTTACCAGTGTCTGTTCTAAATGTTTTCTCCTCTTTCTCCAATTTTAGCTGTGACAGTTGAAAAAGCAAGTCCAGTGGGTGATGGAAATTTCCGGAATCGTCCTGCTCCACCTTGTGCAAATTCCACAGTTGGAGTTGTTAAGATGACACCTCTTTCCTTCATTCCTGGAGCAAAAATAACTAAGTATCTTGGGATAATTAACATGTTTTTTATTCGAGAGACTACTTCTCTTCGGGAGGTAATTTTATAGAAGTTATTTCATTGTTTTTTTTGAAGTTTCTCTGAAGATTTAGTAACAAAACCAAACAACTCTCAAATTGTTATTTTTTGCCAAAAAAAATTTACAAATGTTTATTTGTATTTTAATAATCTATCTGGCTTGAGTATAGATTAGATTTATTTCATTTAGCAGCTGAGATTATCACAAGAATTGTGTTAGTTTTATTGTTAGAAATCTTAGAACCTTATCATATAGTAAATAAGCAAATATCTGTGTTTAAATAGAAGTTTAAAATGCCCTGAAATAACAGCTTAGGTTTCTCAGTAGTTATTTGCCTGTTATCATTGAAGTAGTGATTTTAGATGTTATATCTAAAATATATATATTGCCTGTTATATATATTTTTAGAAATTCTTGACAGATCACATTTAGAAATAGTAGAGAACTATATTACAGATATATGTCTAAGCAGATAGTTTATATAATTTAACTCTGTTGTTTCTTCCTCCTGAGAAAGGAATGAAGCTGCTCATTTTTTACTTTCTCCAGTAGTGTATGAGGATGACATTTCTTCAGTCTTATCTCACACTGAGTATCATTAAACTTTGTAATATTTTATTTGACGTGGGAAAAGTTCAGAATCAGAGTCAGCCTGTTATATCTTTTATAATACAGGAATTTAAACTTAAGAAAAATTATGTTGTGTCATATGTTATGGAACAGGGCTACCAAGCACATTAATGTTGTGAATAGGGACATTTTTTAATTACTGAGGTGTGACATACAATAATCTTTTCAAATTTTATTTTAGCTGCAGTTTATATTTTTAAAAAATGTATTCATTATAAAGATGACTTAGCTGTGCTTTTTCACCAGCAGTGTTTCTGTACTTTCTTAGGAATAACATCCTGCATACTCTCTTTAATATCGTGCTAACCATTCTGTGCCTAGCACACAGAGTAAACACAATATATTTTTGTATAAAGGAATGAATAGCTTCTGACAGATTATTTAATTAGTTAGGTGGATGTTTTCTTTTAGGTAAATTAGGCCAGGCACGGTAGCCCATGCCTGTAATCCCAGCACTTTGGGAAGCTAAGTCGGGTAGATTGCTTGAAGCCAGCAGTTCAAGACCAGCCTGGCCAACATGGTGAAACCCCTTCTCTACTAAAAATACAAAAATTTGCCAGGTATGGTGGCTCATACCTATAATCCTAACTACTTGGGAAGCTGAGGCACGAGAATTGCTTGAACCTGAGAGGTGGAGGTTGCAGTGAGCCAAGATTACGCGGTTGCACTCAGCCTGAGTGACAGAGTGAGACTCTGTCTCCTCCCTAAAAAAGAAGATACATTTGTTTTTATATCATTCAAATTATGTTAAGATGAAAAATAAACTATCAAGATATTCTCAAAAACCTTTCGATAGAGAATTAAAATAGATGATACTTCTACATCCATTTAAATTTGACAAAGATTTGGTGTGAAAAGCTGGCATATATTACGAATTAACCTTTTCTAGTTGCTCTTGGTAGCACATGGATATTACATTATTTTGAATCCGTAACATTTTATTTCCTAAGCCGTTTTGACTGCTTAAGCTCCCATACCTCAAAATGTTGCTTCTTGTTAGATTTTCCTTCAACAGAAACTTATAATATTAACTGTGAAGCACAATATCCCAAACATGTTAGTTGCCTGATGAGTTGTTTTCATACATTGAATTAATATTTTTTAAATTAACCCTCTGTAGCTACTGTGTCATCAGAATTTATTGATTTGATAAACAGGAGGAAATTGATAAAAGTCAAAGAAAAAATACACTGAACTGTGATTGAGTTAGAGGCAGGCTGAAGCAACTCCCTTAATTTTTTAATTACAAAAAGTTATCTTTACAAAACTATATGTAGGATCCTCAGGGTTTTCAGAAAGATGTGATCTACTAAAATGGTTTTCTAATACTGCAGTCATTTTCCCCCTTAACTTTGAGTTTAAAGTTGGAAATTTATTCCTAGACTATAAATAAGTCCCAATAGAATTTGTGGAAATGTAGGTTAAAAAGCATTTTAGCCTATTGACTAGCCTTTAATTTCTGTTTTGCTTGTTTTTGAATATGGAACAAATACTCTGAAATACTGGGTTTTATTTCCTAGCAGTTATATATGGAATTCTTATTATATGCATCTGTTGAACTAAATGTTAGCATGTAGTTTTGTGCAAAACAGATACAGTTCCTGACCTAATGGACTTCACAGTCTAGTAGAACTGGAGCATGGTGGACATAAACAGTTATTCATATAATTAGTATATAATTACAAGGGAGAATAAGTAATATAAAGAAATTGAACAGAGGCTATCAGAGAATATAATAGAGGAAGTTACCTTAGAGTTCACAGTCAGAGAAGGTATCTATCTCTGAAGACATATGTAAATTGGGACTAAGGAGTGAATGAGTTGTCCTCTTAAAAAATTGAGTGAAAAGTCTTCAGGAACAACATGTGCAGTGACCCTGGAGTAGGAAAAGTGTTTGTACATTTGAGAAACTGAAGAAAAGGCAAGTTTGATTGGAACACGATTCAGGTTCAGAATGAGAGATATGAATAGCAGGTAAGTTTTATTGTTTAGGCTTGCCATCAATTTGTTTTAATGATGACGAGCATGATTTGATGGAGATATTGAAGATGGAAGCACAATTTGAATGCTTGCCCTGCCATTTACATGCTAGCTATTTGATCATAGACAGTCATGGGCAAATTATAAATTCTTTGAGCTTCAGCTTTATCTTCTGTAAAGTAAGGATAGTGAATCCTTGTCTGGACACGTGTTCAGTAAATGTTCATTCATGCAGTAAATTCCCATTGTGAGGGAAGTTTAAGTTATTTGTTATATTAAGATAATTTAGGATGTTTTAATATATATCCTTTGACATGTTGTATACATTGCTATATCCACACACGTATATATAGTATGATTTTCTTGTGCATTATTATTTAGGAAGGAGGAGTTAGTGGTTTTCTCCATGCTTTTATTGCTGAAGTATTTGCAATGGTGAGAGCTCATGTTGCTGCATTAGGAGGGAATGCCGTTGTCTCCTACATAATGAAGCAGTGTGTCTTCATGGAGAATCCAAATAAAAACCAGGTAAGATGCAGTTAAAAATTCCTGATTGGCAGGAATCTGAGAATTTCTTCCATGGCCTCCTATCCCTAACCTCCTTCAAATGAGAATTGTTCTTTAGAACTATTTGAGTCTAGATGCTTAAGACATTTTAATGAATTTATTAATAACCATGGTCATATATAGTCACCAGTCAATACATGCTGTTTTGACATCTCAGGTGACTAGGTATTATTCTATCATGTCTGGAATTTGTGCTCCTCAGTTACTGTTTCCACCCTCTTTTTGGTGGGTGTTTAGAAAAATATGGATGAAGCCTCAGTGGGCCTGTTTCCTCTTTTAACTGAATGAACTATCTTAATTTTGTTGTCATGCTTATGCATGTCTTTATAGCTTAAAAAAATTAATTGTAGTCTTATTTGGTATCTAAAATGTTTTAATAGGTTGTACATGATTCAAAATTCAAAAACGTGTGAATGGAAAAGTCTCTCCCTGTCTGCTGTTCTAGCCAGTTTTCTGCCCCACATGCAACCAAATTTTTTAGGATGTTATTTTTATTTTTATTTTTTTGGTAACTTCTAGAGATGTAACACTCCAGAATATGTAACCAGAGAGATTTTAGATACATAGAGGAAAAAATATATATATATATAGTCTTTTATCTCCCAGTTTAATATAAGTGGTAGCTTTACAGTACATACTGCTCCTCAGCTTGCTCTTTCGCCTAATTTTTCTTGGCAGTGTTCTCATTTCAGGTCATAAAGATTATCTTTATTGTTCGTTACAACCACATAACACTCCACAGTATAGATCGACCAGAATTTTTCTAATTAGTCCCCTACTGATAAACATTTAGGTTGCTCTCAGTAAATGTTGTGCTAATACATACAGTGCTACAAAAAAAAATGTGATACGTAAGTATTTGGCACAAATGTGAGCATCTCTATAGGAAAAATTCCTTGAAACAGAATTGCTAGGTCAGAGTAGCACCTTTGTAACTTCCATAGAGATTTCCAAAGTTCTTCTCCATTGAGATATTTTGCACATTCTTTATATAAATATATATGTGTATATGTAATTACATAAATGATTTCATATTGTATATATCATTTTGCAAATTGTTTTTGTCAATTTATCATAAGATTTACTCTATTGATCAAGCTTTAGGTTATTTTTTACTTCCATATAGTAGTTCAGGCATGAATATTCCACAATTTATTTTCATTTCCCTTTTGATGGGCAGTTAGGTTGTCTCTAGTATTTTGCTATTGTAAACATGATGCAATGCAAAGTTACTTATTAATCTTTGTTGCACACATGCCCAAGATTTCTTTAGGGAACACATATACATGGAATTGATGGGTCACAAAGTGTGTGTTCTCTTTCTCCTTTAAGGGATGGTTCTTTTCTAGATGGTTGAGCTTCCTGCTGCAGTGTTAAGTGTGTTGCTGTTGTCCCATGTCCTTGTTAATACTTGGTAACATCCAGCTTTTTACAGTTTTTTGCCAGTATATATGAAGTGGTGTCTCTTTGTCATTTTAGTTGTATATCTCTGGCTAATAGAGGGCTTGAATATGTGTTCATATGTTCACAGGAGCTCTTTGAGTTTTCTTTCTTGTGAATTGCCCTCTTACCCTTTTCTCATTTTTCTGTTGGATTGTCTGTCTTTATCATAATGATTTAGAAGCCTGTGCTTTTTCGGCTGTATAGCACTGCCCCTTATGTAACAGAATATGAACATGTTGAGTATAACCGAACCTGTCCTGTTTGTTGTTCTTATAGGCGCAGTGTCTTATCAATGTAAGTGGCGATGCAGTGGTTTTTGTTCGTGAATCTGACTTAGAAGTAGTGTCAACTCAGCAACCTACTGCCAACTGCCAATCATCAGGTACTGAAGGTGAAGTTACAACCTGAGGAAAATTAGGAAAAAAGAGCTCAGCTAAATGAAATTCATCTGTCTCTATTATTTTGTCATTAATTATCTTCTTAGACTTAAAATTGAACTTAATTTTAGATAAATAAGGAAGAATTGAGTAGATTTGATTTGCCTGATGGAGTCTTTTGGAGGCATGAGAATTTTCTATTCTTGACATTTTGTTTGCCTACAGTAGACAGCCAGGCCCTGTGGGATCTGAAGGGTCACTTCAGTAAGTTAAGATAAATTTTTAAGAGAACTGTAGCAAAGATGGAAACTTTGTAATTTATGTTGATTTTAATAAAATCATAATTTAAAAAATGAAATGGGAAGATTATCAGGAAATGAGGATAGCTACTGTAGTGTAATTTAGGAAGACTAAGCAAGAGATTTGCTAATTGTTAGTGAGTATGCAGTCTGATTTGAGAAATATGTGGGGACAATGGAGAAAAGTTTTCAGAAAACTACTATGTAGATTTCTGAATGTGTTTTATTTTGATGAGGAATTCAGTAACAACTGGAAAGAAAAAGTGCTTCAGCCATCTTTTGAAAACAAGTTAAAATTCTGCAACTTGTATCTGTAATACATCCTAACTCTTGTAAAAGAAAATAATTTATAATAGCTGGTATCCTTTCATTGAAAGTTTTAATACTGTCTCTAAGGAAGGAGGAAAAAATTATAATTTTGTAACTGGCAACATTTGAGTTAGTATTGAATTTGTCTAAAAGAGGCTTGACTTCAACTGGGAAGAAACTGTCAGTGAATTTTGTTGAAGTAGTGAAAATACAGTTGATCTAATAGGAACATAGAATTATTTTCTAATAATACTACACTCCTACCAAATAAACAGGATTTTACTAATATCTGAGGGATTTTTGATGATGAGTTAGACTGTATTTGGCATAGAATTTGGAAATGTAACTTGAATGTAAATATGCTGCAGAATGTTGAATGTATACATAGAAATACTTTTTCCGTTGATGCCAAATGCCCATTGTAAATGAACCTTAAATACTACATTCCTCCTTTGCACAATAATATTTCTTTACAAAACTCATGATTTTGTTCCCCCACGACAACATACTGCCCTTAATAGTCGTTTCCTTGTTATCACAGGTGTCAATATTTTTCTGTGTTTTGTTTATAATTTTATTTTTTAAATAAAAAGTTTATAAAAAGAAACTGGAACATTTCTAAATCTCTTTTTTACTTCCATCATGTAGTACTGTCAGTTTTCTGAATCACTTTCCATCCGATCATCTCCATTCGTTTCTCTAGTAAACAAACATCTATTGAGCACCTATTAAATACAAGTCTTAATTTTTGAGGGGTGTGTAGGTGTAATTTTGGCTCTTTCATTGTTTCAGGGTAGGTAGGTGTTCATTCAACAGCTGTTTATTGAATAGAATGCCTGCTAGATGGCAGGGCACAGTTTTAGGCATGAACAAAACACATATAAGTTCTTCCTCATAGAGCTTACAGTCAGTGCTTAGACAAGTAAATAATTTGTAAGATGTGGTAATGTGGTATTTTAACAATTGCTAATATTTATTGAACGCTTACTATGGCCAGGCAGCCTAATAAAGATATTTTTGTATTAACTCTTTTAATCCTTATGGAAACCTTACTGTTAAGCACCAGTTTGTAGTTGTGGAAGCTGAATTGAGAGTTTGTGTGAGTTGCCACAAAGACAGTAAATAGTGGAGCCAAGATTCAAGTGCAGGCAATTTGGCTGTATAACCTACATTAGTAAGTGAGAAAATGTGAGTGTAGCTTGGAATAGAGGTACTTCCCAAAGGAGATGATGTTTTAGCTCAGTCATGAAAAACAGTTCACTGGAATTGGGTAACCAGTTTATTCATCCATCCATCTGTTCATCCAGCCATTTGTCCGTCCAGCACCTGTTAAGTGATTGCGTAGTGTGCTCCAGAGTCCTTTCTAGGCAAAGAAACAATAATAACGCAGCTCTCGCTAATTGAGTGGCTGTTTTGTGTCATGTCCTGTGTACATATGTTATTGCTAATACCTAATCCATAAAAGAAGCCAGGTGGCATTATCTCTCTTTTAATATGATTAATTGTATACTCATGGTGAGACCCAGACTGAGTTCTTTGAAAAGCTGGAGTTTCCTTAACCACCCACACTTGCTGCCTATTTACTCGCATAGGCCTGTTTGCTCCTGTGGGCTACCTTTGAAGCACAATCATCTGTGTCCAGATTGGCTCCTTCCAGAAAGGCTGTTACCCTACACCCCAAGAGTTGCTGCTCTTCCACTATGTGTGGATTGCCCCTGAAACATGAGCATCCGGAATGGACATACTGGGACTTATACTCTTTTTGAAATAGGCCAGTTTACAGCATTTACAGCAGACCTAACATACCCTTCATCCTTCATCGCCGCTCCGAAGAGAAACTACTCAAACGAATTCACTGTCTCACTTCCTACACTTCCTACTCTTCCATGATCCATTATCATCTGGGTTTTATCACCTGTTCTGCCTCTGAATTTGAACAACCGAAGGTAAGTATTGGATTGCAGTATTAAGTAGTTGGCAAGTTTTTTTTTAATGCATACAGTTTTTTCATAAGGGAATAAATGGGATTATATAAACAATGTTTAGTTTTACTTTTTACGTTTTTACCTGGTTTCCCCATCACATCCCTCCCTCTTTCCATATTAATAACCCAGTATGTATCCTTACATATTTTGAAAAATCTGTTACGTATCATTTAAATTCAACGAAATCATCTATTTTATGTGTATAGTTTGAGTTTGGCAAATATGTTCCATCATGTAGCCCAGATCTGGAACATTTCCATCACCAGTAAAGTTCCCTGGTATCCCTTTGCAGCCCATCTACTCCTCCTTCACGTCAATGGGATCTTGTGCTCGGCAGCTTTCATTTGGCATAACGCTTTTGAGATGTGTCCATGCATGGAAGACGTTTTTGGCTATAGGAATAATAGAGCTATTTTGCATTTGAGTTTGTACTTTTTTTGTGAAAATCAAAATTTCTGTCCTATGGGTTTGACTTTTTCTTGTTTAATCTGCTGTGTGCGACAATTTCCCCCCATTTTGTTGTCTATCTTTACAGTAGCTTTTTACTATATCTATACTTTTTATTATGGACAGTGTGACTATCTTTTCTTTTTTAGGTTCTTAGTTAGAATGACTTATTTTCTCTCTTTGATTTTTTTTTGGGGGGCCATCCTGAAGGTTCATCAGTTTTCACACATCTTGAATTGTTCTCATGTCCGTATATCTCCAACAATAAAAATGTACAGTTTCTTATTTCCATAAATGCATCACTACTTAGCCAGTTTGAGTTGAGTCAGAAGTCTGGAGATCAAAACCTATCCTCTTTCCAACATGCTGCCTAATCTCATGGCACCAGGTACATAAAGACATGGAAGCATAAAAATGTGTGTTGTGTGGAAGCAACACATTTTATTTACAAAGTGTCTTCTTTTTCCTTCAGAGGAGGGTGTTTAACAGAGTACTTGATAATCTGATCTAAGCGCTGGATCTTTTTTGTCCAAAAAATAAGTATACACATGAACTTTAGTGTACTACTTCAGGAGGTTTACTGAAACCACTTCTTTGACCCCAGGCTGAATAAGGAAACTTGCTGAGGGAAATGTTAGGAGTGGTTGCATAAATACTATCCTAAAAAGCTTGGCTTCTGTCTAATAGAAAAGCCAAGGCACTATAAAGACTCTCTCACACTCTTTCTCTCTCTCTATATATAACTAAATAATTATATATAATTAATATAAATTATAATTATATATAATTAATATAAATCAATTTATATATTATAGTTAATATTTGTCAATTATTGCCATATATGTAATTTATTAATTTAATAAATATTTGTATTTATATAACATATGCATAATTAGATATATGTGATATAATATACCTATGGTCATAATTTGTATAAATCAGATATATAATTATATAGGTATAATTTTTTGAGGTTTGTTTTTTTCTTAGATTCTAGTACCTCAGCCTTCTGAGTAGCTAGGATTACAGGTGCCTGCCACCATGCCCGGTTAATTTTTTAATTTTACTAGACACAGGTTTCACCATGTTGCCCAGGCTGCTCTTGAACTCCTGACCTGAAGTGATTCGCCCACCTTGGCCTTCTGAAGTGCTGGGATTACGGGCATGAGCCACTGTGCCCGGCCTGAAGTTTTTTAAATAGCAAAAGATTGCAGATATTAATCTTCTACAACAATTGTTTTAAATTATGTATACATTGTGGAATGACGAGATTGAACTGATTAGCATATGCATTACCTCACGTTTTTCGTTGTGGTGGGATCACTGAGAATCCACTTCTCTTAGTAGTTTTCGTAACACATTACATTATTAACTGTAGTCACCATGTTATACAATAGATCCCTTGAACTTATTCCTCCTATCTACTTGAAATTTTGTATCCTGTGACCAACATCTGCTAATGCCCCACCACTGGCAACCACCATTCTACTATCTACTTCTATGTGCTCAACTTTTTAAGATTTCACATATACTATGTAAGATCATGTATTTGTCATTCTTGCCTGGCTTATTTAACACTGTATCTTCCAGGTTCATTCATGTTGTTGAAAATGACAGATTCCTTCTTTTTAAAGACTGAATGGTATCCCATTGTGTATAGATACCATATTTTCTTTATCCATTTATCTGTTTGTGGACACTTAGGTTGATTTTATAACTTGGTTATTGTGAAAAATGCTGTAATTAAGATGGGAATGCAGATACTTCTTTGCCATGCTGATTTCATATCCTTTGGAAATGTGCCCAATAATGAGATTAGTGGATCATATGGTAGTTCTATTTTCAATTTTTTGGAAGCATCCAGACTCTTTTCCATAATGGCTGTACTAGTTTATATTCTTACCAACAGTATGCAAGGGTTCCCCTTTCTCCACACACTCTCCAACAAAGACTATTATTTTTAAATATAAAAAATAAACATATAACAATGGTTCCTCTGCTTTTTGAAAGTAAGAGTGATGTCTGTAAAAATCCTTTTAAATAAACATTTGTTCATTGGAGATATTTAAAAGCCATATTTTAAAATATTAAAAACCTCAAAATAGCTACAGTAAGCAGAATAATGGGCCCCGAAAGATGTCTCTAACTTAATCCCCTGTGAATATATTACACGACAGGTCAAAAACTTTGCAAATGTGATCAAGGTTAAGGACCTCAAGATGAAGAAATTATTCTGGTTTATCTGGGAGGATCCTAGAATCTAATCACATGAATCCTTAAAAGTGGAAACAGAGGGCCTAAGAGGTCAGAGATTCTATGTGAGTAGGACTTGACCCAACACTGCTGACTTTGAGGAAGAGGAAGAAAAGTGGGCCGGGCGAGGTGGTTCACGCCTGTTAACACGGCATTTTGGGAGGCTGATGTGGATGGATCACTTGCGGTCAGGAGTTCAAGACTAGCCTGGCTAACATGACGAAACCCCGTCTCTACTAAAAATACAAAAATACAGGGGTGGCGGTGGGCGCCTGTAATTCCGGCTATTTGGGAGGCTGAAGTACGAGAATCTCTTGAACCGGTGAGGCAGAGATTGCAGTAAACCGAGATCGCGCCATGGCACTTCAGCCTGGGCCATAAGAGGGAGACTTAGTCTCAAAAACAAAACAAAACAAACCCAAAAAGAAATGTGTGTGACCTCTAGACTCTGGGAATAACTCTTAGCCGACAGCCAGAAACCATCTCAGATCTACACTAGGAGAAACTGAATTATGTCAGAAATTCAAATGAACAAGGAAGTGGGTTCTCGCCTAGAGTTTCCGGAAAGGAACAGTCCTGCCAATGACTTGATATGAGCCTGGTAAAACCCATGCCGGTTCTTATCTACTGAACTGTAAGGTAGTAAATTTGTGCTGTTTAAACCACTAAGGTTGCGGTAGCAACAGAAAACAAACACAAATTCCAATACAAGTTCAACTATAGAGATACATAAAGTATAAAATTACCATATAGCAAGCCGGGCGCTGGGGCTCACGCCTCTAATTCAGCACTTTGGGAGGCCAAGGCAGGTGGATCTCTTGAGGTCAGGAGTTCGAGACCACCATGTGAAATCTCTCTACGAAAAATACAAAACATTAGCAGGGCGTGGTGGCACCCGCCTGTAATCGCAGCTACAGGTGAGGCTGAG